AACAACAACAACAACAACAACAACAACAACAACAACAACAACAACAACAACAACAACAACAACAACAACAACAACAACAACAACACAACAACACAACAACCAACACAACAAACAACAAACAACAACAAACAACAAACAAACAAACAACAACAACAACAAACAACAACAAACAACAACAAACAACAACAAACAACAACAAACAACAACAAACAACAACAAACAACAACCAACAACAACACAACAACAACAACAACAAACAACAAACAACAACAACAACAACAACAACAACAACAACAACAACAACAACAACAACAACAACAACAACAACAACCAACAACAACAACAACAACAACAACAACAACAAACAACAACAACAACAACAACAAAACAACAACAACAACAAACAACAAACAACAACAACAAACAACAACAACAACAACAACAACAACAACAACAACAACAACAACAACAAACAACAACAACAACAACAACAACAACAACAACAACAACAACAACAACAACAACAACAACAACAACAACAACAACAACAACAACAACAACAACAACAACAACAACAACAACAACAACAACAACAACAACAACAACAACAACAACAACAACAACAACAACAACAACAACAACAACAACAACAACAACAACAACAACAACAACAACAACAACAACAACAACAACAACAACAACAAACAACAACAGCAGCAGCACCAACAACACGAACAACACCACCAACAACAACAACAACAACAACAACAACAACAACAACAACAACAACAACAACAACAAGCAACGGCAACGGCAACGGCAACGGCAACAACAACAACAACAACACACCACACACAACAAACAACAAACAACAAACGACAAACGCAACAAACAACAAACAACAATCAACAAAACAAACAACGCACAATAAACAACAACAACAACAACAACAACAACAACAACAACAACAACAACAACAACAACAACAACAACAACAACAACAACAACAACAACAACAACAACAACAACAACACCAACACAAACACCAACAACAACAACAACAACAACAACAACAACAACAACAACAACAACAACAACAACAACAACAACAACAACAACAACAACTAACAACAACAACGACAACAACAACGACAACAACAACAACAACAACAACAACAACAACAACAACAACAACAACAACAAACAACAACAACAAACAACAACAACAAACAACAACAACAACAACAACAACAACAACAACAACAACAACAACAACAACAACAACAACAACAACAACAACAACAACAACAACAACAACAACAACAAACAACAACAGCAGCAGCAGCAGCAGCAGCAACAACACCAACAACACGAACAACACCAACAACAGCAACGACAACAACAACAACAACAACAACAACAACAACAACAACAACAACAACAACAACAACAACAACAACAACAAAACCAACAACAACAACAACAACAACAACAACAACAACAACAACAACAACAACAACAACAACAACAACAACAACAACCACCACAACCACAACCACAACCACAACCACAACAACAACAACAACAACAACAACAACAACAACAACAACAACAACAACAACAACAACAAGAACAACAACCTGTCACTGGCCTGCTTGGTCAGCCTGCTTCTTTTAGTGAAGTGGTTTTTAGTAGAGCTTCCCATTCGCCTGTGTCTCTGGCAGCCTTTGTTTTGTGACGCCATTGTAGAGCTTCCCATTTGCTTGTTGTCTCTGTCACTGGCCTGCTTGGTCGGCAGGCTGCCTTTCGTGAAGTGAGCTTTAGTAGAGCTTCCCATTCGCTTGTTGTCTCTGACAGCCTTGTGTTGGCGACGGCGGAATGTTTTTCAGGGCCTGTCATTGGACCGCTTGGTCGGCCTGCTGCTTTTCGTGAAGTGGTTTTGAGTAGAGCTTCCCGTTTGCTTGTTGTCTCTGTCACTGGCCTGCTTGGTTGGGGCACGTCTTTTGTAGAGCTTCCCATTTGCTTCTTGTCTCTGGCTGCCATTTGTTTGTTCAGGTGGTGTTTTTTCAGGGCCTGTCATTGACCTGGTCGGTCGGCCTGCTTCTTTTCCTGAAGTGGGACTTCTTCGCGTAGAGTTTCCTTCGCTTGTTGTCCCTGGCTGCATTTTTGTTGGTGAAGGTGGATTCTTGCAGAGCCTCCTGCTGTTTTTTCGTGAAGTGGGCCTTCTTTTCGTAGAGCTTCCCATTTGCTTGTTGTCTCTGGCTGCCATTTTTTGGTGAAGGTGGATTTTTTCAGGGCCTGTCACTGGCCTGCTTGGCCGGCCTGCTGCTTTTCGTGAAGGGGGATTTCTTTAGTAGAGCTTCCCATTCGCTTGGCTGCCATTTGTTTGTTCAGGGGTTGTTTTTGCAGGGCTTGTCATTGGCCTGCTTTGTCGGCCTGCTGCTTTCTTGCTTTTTGTCTCCGGCTGCCATTTTTGTGGAGGTTGGCTTTCAGTTTTTAGGACTCTAAGATTTGAAGGTTTTAAGATTTTTAGATTTTTCATAGCATTTTAAGAGTTTGAGATTTTGAGGCTTCAAGACGAATTGAACATGTCTTGATTTGAAGGTTTTTGGTTTTTTGGTTTCAAGATTCTGACGTTACAAGAGTTCAAGGTGTTAAGATCTTGAGTTTTTAAGATCTTTCGAGTTTAGGATCCTAACATTCTAGTATGTCATTTTTAAGGTTTTCAGATTTTTTAGATTTTCAGATATTAAGCGTTTAAGATTTTGAGGTTTTAAGATTCGAAGAGTTTAAGATTCTACTATGTTAACCTTTTAAGGTTCGAATTAATGTTTTGGATTTGCGGATTTTAAGATGCTATTATTCTAAGATTCAAACTTTTAAGACTTTCAACAACGGCAACAACAGAAGACCAGCACCCCCAGCACCAGCATCACTGGGACAAGCCCGCAGACTCACAAGCCCAAGCCTGCAGACCCCAAACCCAAAAACAAGCCCAAAAAACGTACCCGCCAGAAGCTGATGCACGTGATGCTCTTTCATGATCCTCTTCACGGATCGACGGCGCGATGCGGCAGCGCAGCATGCCAACCACGAGCCGACCACGAGACCATGAGACTTTTGCACTGAAACGTCCCTGCGCCAACAGAATCGGGGGCGAAGGATTTGCAGTGTGTTTCGACGATCATTGTTTAACGACTTTTCAGCCATTGATCATGGTGGACAACATCCCCGGCATCACCAGCAACATCTGCGTCAGTGGCGGGCATTGATGTAAATGATGCGAGTGATGCGGGCGATGTTCTCCGGCGGTGAAAACGTAAAAAGCACTGTGTTGTTTGATGGTTTTGCGTGGGCAACGTGACCAAACACTGTCTTTTTTTGATAGTGTTGCAAACGCGCGTTTTTTACGCGTTTTGCTGGGCAACCGTTGACAAAACAGAGTGCTTTTTGCAGCCGTATGCTGAGTTGTCGGTGGCTGGTTTCGCGTAGCGTTTAATCCGGCCACTGCGGAGCCGCGATACGGCCGAAAGCCTAGGCCGAAGGCCTACCTTCAGGTACAAGGGGCGCCCCCTGACCTCGCTGACCATGAGCCGAACTTTTGCGCTGACCAACTGGCTGGTTTGTTCAGGAATGGAACTTCCAAGAGTGATGAACTCGCAAAATTGCCGAAAGACATGTATTCGACTAGGACTTCCGAGCAAGTACAATTGCAACCCTTCTCATAATGAAGAGCGGCTATTGACTTTGAAAGGCTCTCAGGTGCCATAGCTCGAGCAAATCTTCTCACTTTGACTGTATTTGGGGCTAAACCGAACAGTTCGGGCGAAACGTCCCTGATGCGGGGTGAAGGCTTAGCTTTTTTGGCGGGCGGAGGGTTTTGTATGGCTTCAGGGTCGCAGGTGTAACATGAGCCAGCCATACATAGACTTTTTGCGCTGAAAAGTCCCTGCGCCCGGCAGAATAAGTAAGGGGCAAAGGATTTGCGAATTTGTTCAGGCGATTGTTCCGACTTTCCGCGATTGTTGACCATTTTTGGGTGCCCAGAGTGGACATCATCCCCAGCATCACCCACATCATCAGCATCCATTGGAGCTTGAGTTGACTGCAAATATGCAGAAACCCGGCTGCTGCATCGACTGCATCCGTTGCATCACCCGTGTTTGGGGCCAGCTTTCCGCACGTATGCAACGCACGCGCCGCACGCACGCAACCAACCAGCCAGCCATCCGTCCATCCGTCCAGCCATGCATCCATCCATCCGTCCCATCCCATCCACATCCCCATCCCCATCCCCTCCCAGCCCACCCTAGCCCAGCCCAGCCCAGCCCACCCCATCCCATCCCATCCTACATCCCGTCCCATCCATCATCAACCCATCAACCCATCAACCCATCCACCCATTCGCCATCCACCCATTCGCCATCCATCCATCCCTCCCTCCTTCCCTCGCTCCCATCCATCCATCCCTCCCTCCCCCTCCGTCCCTCCCTCCCTCCCTCCCTCCCTCCATCCATCCATCCATCCATCCATCCATCCATCCATCCATCCATCCATCCATCCATCCATCCATCCATCCATCCATCCATCCATCCATCCATCCATCCATCCATCCATCCATCGCGTGCATCCATGCATCCCGGGCCGGCGCGCGGAGCAGTAAAACAGAAAAAAGTTGGGGAGCCCTTTGTGGTTGGACTTTCAATCATAAACAGAAGAAAACCAAAACTTGTCAAGGTCCCTTTTTTGAAACACTATACTTATTCTTGTCTTTCAATTGTCCAGGCCTTGGGATTGCAACATAGCAGCCAGAATGGGGCAACAGTTTGTCCACTAATCCGAGGTATGCTGCAAATCGCTTACAACATCTAACATCTGGCCCGTTATTTCAAAACGGTCGCTCCCCCAGAAGGAAACCCAGGCAGACCACAGCAACTTCCCGGTTTCAACTGGAAAAATTGTGAGGACGGGCCGCCCAAAGGGCCCCCTTTGGCCCGGGCTGGCGTTCCCGTTCTCGGCGAGGTACACGACATACTGTGCCACAGCGGCTGTGTCACCCTGAGAGTCGGGGCACAGGAAGACTCGAACCCTTCCCACTGTGCTAAGGCCGGCAAGACTGGCTCTAAGCTTGATCAAAGCACTAAACTTAGTCAAGGTCCTGCCCAAATAAGGTTGTGGAGAGTCATTGACGGACTGGTTTGTGAGGTCCGTGAATCAGATTTTGGTCTCACAAAGACAAGGCTGTCCTCCTCTCACTTTCCCAGGGAAAGGGTTGACCCTCTGAGACTCAAAGAGTGAAACCCAAAGTTCAAAAGCTTGGCTTTGGGCAAGCGACGCAAGCGAGATTCTGAGACCAAGAAGGGATTACCATCATCTTTGAATTCTCGAAAAACAGAGGATGTAGTACGAAAAGATCACTCTTGCGGGCGATGGATTCGCCCATGGTTTTGGCAACGGCTCACATCTGCAAACATTACGACACTTCCAAAGCATCAAATCGGCCAAATAATTCACTCCTGAAATTCAAATCTCCGAAATGCATCGGCATCGGCCCCGAAGAGCAAGAATTGTGCTGTCCAAACCACAACTGCTTGACGACCGTGAATACCAATTAACATAGAAGACCCCCACAAACAACCTTGAGCGTGTGCTGCTCTGCTGCCTTTGGACTGGTGCGCAGGCAATTGCCAATCGTCACAACATGGGAGGCTTCCCCTACAGGATCTTCATAGGTGAGCTCAGATTACCCCCAGGTAAGCTCGTTGTAATTCATCTGGTCTTGCGAAAGCCAACATATCTTTTTAATCCGTGCAAGGAGACTCCACTGATAAAGTCTCATCTTCTGCGGATCAACGCACGGAATACCTGAAAACACGGCGATTGGCACTTGCACCACGATAGCGTCCTACGGATTCCCAAAACCCTGTCTTTCTGTAGAATCCGAACACAAGCAAAGCCAGAAAGCAACAAAAAGGAAGAACAGTGAGAAAACATGTTGAGAACAGTGCAGTGTTCTTGTAATCAACCCATACACCAATAACACCCAAACAAACAAAACAAAAAACTGCATTGTGTGTTTTCCTCTGGTGAGACCTGCTCAACAAGCTAGCAACAAAAATCCTCCGGCAGTAGTGTTCGTGGTTCCACGTTCGGGCGGAATCCAAGAGATCTCAAGTTTGCAAATGTTTGGTGTGTTTTGGAAAACCAAATGGAGACCGAAGCCCATGTTGGTGACCCCGATTTGGAGACCCCAAGTGAACCTCCAAATACCCGCTGTCCTTAAAGGAGCGGATTAAAAAAAATAAGAAAAAAAAGGCCTGCAAAGGGGGCCCCTGGTACTTTGATTAGTTGCGTTGCAAGCCTCTGTTCAACATCATGAACCAGGATGAAAACGGTCTGACAAAGTGTGAAGTTTCGCCATAGGAAATGTCTCCTTTTTGAGTCAGCTTCAGCTTCTCCCCTTGCGACGCCCGTTTGGCTCTTCCCGTTTGGCCCTTCGCCTGCTCCCGCCATGTGACGTTGCCCCCGAGCTGAGTCGCGTCCAGGTCCAAGTCTACAAAGCCCAACTCGGAAGGCATGGTTGGGTGGAATCCGTGTGGGAAATCAAGTTGGGAAAGGCTTGAAAATGTGTTGTTTCGTTTGGGAGTCCTTTCAAGAAATGTAACTACAAGCATGTCAGGTGTTCTTTCGCTTTGGCTGCTTTCCATTCAGACAAGAAAGATCTGCTTCAGGAGGGTCCTTGAGAGTGTTCCTTCTCGAGTCGAGCCATGAGGTAAGTCATTTTGTTGACTGATTGCCATGAACCAGAACATGTCTGGGATTTGCTGGAGACCCACGTCGAACATTGCTACTGTGCACAGATACCCGCAGTTTGTGTCAAAAGGCTGGTTCCCATTGTGACTACCTCCTGTGCAAGTCAGGGGTTAAAGAATCATTCCCTACAAACGGTGGGGTAGTTGGAGATTACGGGAGCAGATCAGCTGGGTGTTCTACAGGTTGATTCCCCATTCTCTTTTGCTCGTTCAATTTATCAACCATTTTGAGGGCTGGGCTGCAATTTTCTGAATCTGAACAAGAGCAAGGCATGGCTAGGTTCATTTCAAGAACCAGGTTCACAAACTTGGAAATGGTGAGCTGGATGCAATTTTCACCACGGGCAACCTTGGCAAACTGCCAGTTGAGCCAAACTCGGCCCCTCGCAGATCCCACTGTGGCGGAAGCATCGTAAAACTCGAGGCCCGCAGGGGTCGTCTGCTCTGCCAAAGTCGACCTGCGCTCCGTTGATGAACTTCGAAGGGAGGGGACGAAGCCAATCGTTTGGTCTTCACATGCCTTCCACACAGGTCCCGAAACCTATCAGATCGTCTCGCCTGGCAAAGACCAGCAAGTGCGTGAGCCCAGCACTTCCGGTGCTGTCCGGCACCAAAAGCTCCTCCGTCTGCGCCTCAATCGATCGGAGAAACCATGGAAGAAATGGGGGGGGGCTTTTGGGTATGAACCACAACTATCAACTCATTTGAAGGTTGTTGAAACAAAGGGACAGCGAGGGCATGGTGCAAAAGTCATGCAGCTTTAAACCCGGCCCAGGCCTGCTAGCGGCATTGCTTTTGGAGATCCCAAAATGGTTTGAGCTTGGTTGGGAACTCAAACACAAGCCGGCTTCAAGATGCTTCAAGCAAGATGGATCAGTCTTATTCTTATGTGTTCTGAACTGCAAGGTCCCGAAAAAGTCTGCATCGGTACAAACACGCATCACTCTCGGTGGGTTGGGGGTCTATGGTTTGACGGCTCAGGGCCTAAAGCTAAATATGACCCGCCCTGGAACCACGTCACTGGAACCCTCTTCGAGAGGCGCGTTGCACCAAAAAGTGCTGTTATTTGGGGGAAGGATTTTTTTGAATTCATAAACTTGTGAACAATAACAACGTCCATACCTCTTGATTTTGGCGCGATCGTAGCGCTGATCCTCGATGAACCACAGACAGAATGAACTTTGGGTCAGTTCTCATTCACCGACCAAAATTGGGAGGTTGCATGAAAGGAGCCCTCACAGTCACAATGGGTAAGATTGCAAACCCAACTGGCCACATGCTTAATACTTCGAGCGGATTTATTGTTTCCGTATTTGTTGCTTTTGTTAAAGTAGTTGTTTTTTTTTCCGTTTTCGTGTGGGAAAGCAACATGCTGTAAATAGCTTGTGGGCAACCCCTTTTGTGTGACTGTTTGCCCGTACTTTTTTGCAAACACGTTATCTTAAATTTGATGGTTTGGGGGCCACGGGCAACATGGACTTCCTAGATCCAAGGCCTTTACCCTTTGAGCTGGGAAGAGCTTGGGTAGGTGAACCACCCTGAAAGTAAAAGGTTACAGCTTTAGTTTAAGAATTTCAGCAACCCAAAAAACAGTTGGACACTAAAGAGGACCACAAAACAGTCACATTCAAGAGGATCAGGGCCTCTTGTGGGAAACCCCGTTGTTATCTTAAATTTGATGGTTTGGGGACCACTTCAAGAAACGGATTCCCTAATGTTTGCCCGAAGTTGCTTGCCTGAGCCCGAGCAGATCCAGAAAGTGAAAAAGGAAGCTCTGTGTGTTTAGATTTATTTCTTTATTTGTTTTTGTTGTTTTTTGCTTGGGGGGAACTTTCCACAATAGAGGACCCCAGAAACAATCACAGCATCCTGAATTGGAAAAAAACAACAAGTTTTTACAATAGAGAGTACTATTCCTAAAAAAAAAACTTCCCAAAGAGAAACTGGTGATGCTGCAAAAGCCAAACATGGTACTAACGGCCGCGTAAACCAACGAAAACCCGCAAAAGCAACAAGAGCAGCCGAAGCCAAAAAACGCCGCCAAAAGCCGCATAAACCAGACAGCAACTGAGAATGCAGAGGATGCGACGAGCTAAGAAGCCGAGAAGCCAACAAGCCAAAAGCAAAAAGCCAAGAAACCAAAAAGGAAAAATAAAAGAAGAAACAAAAAGGAACAACACATCCTTTGAAAAGAACCCTCCGTTCAAATTTCTTAACTTCAATACCAAGGTCTCCCTTTTAAACATCCCACAATATCCATCCGCGACGCCCGCAATGGGCAGTTGCGGGGGCAAGCAGTAAAGAAACAAGAAAGAGAAACACAGGAGGCATCTACACCTGCAGAACCCATGAACATGTTGACAAAGACGTCTGACGCTTTAAAAGCTCATGTTTTCTCTTCCAATCATGTCAACCCGTCCTTCCCCCCGGCTATGATATATTCGGGGCACGTGTTTTGTGAGGATTCCTTGCTTACCGGGCAACCGATTCATCGGGGTCAACATAAGGATGCCCCAATCAAAACCTCCTTTTCCGGATTCCCTTTGGACTCTTGGACCCCTCAGATCGCCTGCACGGCGCCGAGCAAGCGGTGGGACGTGAGGCTGCCGGTGGCGTTGCTGGCCAAGTACACCACGTACTGTGCCACCTGCAGGTTGAGGTTCCCAAAACACTACAGCAAGTGTGATTGCACAGCCATGCAAACGCCAAGAGCATGTCAAGAAGAAGACCCATGCCTTCTTGCACCTCCCCATTTGCATTGCCATCAGTCAATAACACTCCAGAGAAAGCGCTTGAGTTTGCTCTAAGTGTATCTGGTTCGGGCGCATCTTGCTCAAGCATATCTTGCTCACGGGCATGTCGCTGAAGTGTGTGTTTTTCTCGAATGTATATTGATCGATTCTAACTTGTTCGAGTGAACTTTGCTCAAGCATGTGTTGCTCAGGTGTGTCTACTCAAGTGTTTCTTGCTCATACGCATCTTGCTCGAGTGTATGTTGTTGCTCGGGTGTATCTTGCTCAAATACACATTGCTCAACTACTCTTGCTCCAGACTGGTCTCTTGGCTCACGTGACTCCTGTTCATTAGTCAATATTGCTCTCAAGTGTGTCTTGCCGAAATGCTTCTTACTCAAGCGGATGTTGCTCAAGCGCGTGTTGCTCAAGCGCGTGTTGCTCAAGCGCCCCCTGATTGAGTGTATCTTGCTGATGTAAATACCTTGCGCGTGGAGCCTTCGCATTGCAAATTTCATTAAATGCTTTTGGAAGCGGAACACTTGCTTCGCGTACGGCTTTCAGCACTCATCTAAAGCTTGCAACTCTCCAGCGGCAGCGACCGCCCCTGGAACGAGTTACACAACTTGTTCAACAAAGCTGCTCCCCTGACAACTGACATGGGACCCCACAAAATGCGTCTTGGATAAGCGGATTCCTTTCAACAAAAGCTGGGCTCTTGGTTTCTTTCATTTTGGAGATCTTTGGATCCTTCCTCCAATTACCCACTTTGTCCTGGGGATGATGTCAACCCGACAAAAAGACATGCATTCACCTTGAAGGAAAAAAGACGGCTTTCCAGCAACTGCCAAAAAGGGATGGCGTGGGGTCGAGCCGCAAGCCGCCTGGGAAATGTTGGGCCCCGCCCAGCGCAGGAAGCCGCCGAGCTCCCCGGCGTCCAAGTCCTCCGGAGCGAAAGAGGGACCCGAAGCCCTTCTTGGGGACAATGTAGAACAGACTAGGTGCGACTAGGTGCTTTTGATGGGAAAAGCAAGGATTCCATTGTCCCTGATGACCAAAACTCGAAGTGGAATCTTGCTAGTTTCAATCAAACAAACCTGAAAAGAGATGATCCTCTTCGCGTCCTGCCCAAAATAACAGTTGACAACAAACAACATTGTCAGAGACTCACATACTGCAAGAGCACCGCAAAATCCTCCAGGAAAGCAAAGCGCTTAGATCAGCACTCAAAGGCTCATTTCTAGGTACAGGCCCCATCCTGTGTTTGATCTGGTGGCTCACTCCCAAAGGGCCAAGGGCAGATTTCGAATCGCTCTGTTGTTTGGCGGTTCTATCTTGTCTTTGTGTCGAGTTGTGATCGGTTCAGCAATAGCCCGCGAGGCGAAGAAGGCTTTGTTTCCCGTACTGTCAGTCGGTTCTCTAAACAGAAGATGAGAAATTGCCTTTTCATGCGTCATGGGTCTCGGGCGGCTTTGCTCCGAGCACATTCAACATGGTTGCTGCTCCTTGCGTTCAAGTCGTCAGCCTGAGCGGAGACATTGGCATGAATGTTGTCATATTATTATTATTGGTTTTCCGTAGCCTTGCTGTGTGTATGTGTGTGTGTGTGGAGGAGTTTACTCTGGCGGCTACGCACGGTGTAGCTGACCAATGACAAGGGTTCCTCATTTATACTCCTCTATCTTAAGCACATGTCAGCATGTAGCGCTTTTGGCTGGCGTCGAGTACTATCAACATATCAGCGTCAAATGAATGGCATTGCCCTTCTGCCGATTCTCTGAGCATATTACTAGGCTGGCTGGCTGGCTGGCTGGCTGGCTGGCTGGCTGGCTGGCTGGCTGGCTGGCTGGCTGGCTGGCTGGCTGGCTGGCTGGCTGGCTGGCTGGCTGGCTGCCAACTAATTCACTAGCTGGCAAGCAAGCGAGCGAAGCAAGCAAGCAAACACACAAATGAACAAACAAGGCACTGCAAGGGTGCTAATCATCAGCAGGGCAAGCGTGCACTCGACCTTGGAGAAGTATTACTCCGCCAACATTGCATTGAACCCCACATATGCATTTGATCAATCAAATCCACTAAAAGACGTGTCTTTGAAGCTCCTTCGCCAATTTTTCCAGGAGACAATTTGCCCAAACATCTAACATTGGTTGATTCAGAGGCCTAGCGAGGGGATCCATGGAGTTCGACTGGTTGCATGGCATGAGCTGTTTTGCAGTTTGGGTTTGGCCGGCTTTCCACACTACTTTATCGCAAGAGTCGCCCGAAGGTGGGCAAGGACATGGACACCCAAATACGGTGATTGGAGGGTCGGGGTTGCGCTTGATGAGATTCCCTTTGCTGCTTTGTGCCGAGGTAACCAGGGGCGGGTGAGTACAGTTTGCTGGCTCATTCATTTGAACGACGACCGCAGCTTATCTGTATTTTTCATGGCCCTGACTCTAATAGAGTCTTTTTGCAACTTGTGTTTTGCTGGTACTGAACTCCCCTATGACATCTGGGTCCAGGTTGACATGCGCGGTACAGATCGAGGGGGCCGTGCATGCAGTACCATCTTTGGAAGCCTGATGGCTCCTTTAAAGGACCTTTCTCCATGTTTGCGCAGTTTGCCTCCAAAGCCAATGACTATTCGCATGTTTGAAAGCAGATCCGATCCATGCACATTCATTCACTGACGGCCTGTGCCGCATGCGGACAGCAGGCCGGCAGCGTGACGGCTGCAGCTAGTCGGGCCTCCCCGCTTAACGTCTGTAGCAGCTATGTCGTGGCCTTGTCCATCTTCGCTAGCACAATATGCTCAACCGATGCCTTGGCCTCAACAGCATGTGGTCCCACAAGCCCAGTTTCATGGTCCTCCGGACAGTTTGCCCAGAACCAAATGAGCAGCTTCGGTGTGGTGCCTGGCCCGCCGCCGGGGCCGCCGGGGTCGCAGGCGTGAAGCGCCCGTGACACCCCAAGCGCTGGAGGCTGAGATTGCCTCTTCCTCTTGCGGCTCTCCTCTGATGACTTTGCTGACGTGTGGGTGGGCCTACCTTGTGAGCTCCGGGCGGTGGCATGGCGACCGCCGGGCATCATCGTGGACATCGACTCCCTCAAGGGCCCTGAGCGCATTCCGATGTGAGCGTTGCGTCAAGGTGGCCTCCCCCAAGCAGCAGGCGCACTTCGAGGACGAGAACTGGACCATCAGGTCTCACCTTGGACTCCGCGGAGGTCAAGCAGAGCAATCGCTTTCCATGCAAGCTCAAGCCCAGCGCTGCTTTGAAAACCTTGCCCAGCTCTACTTGCGCAAGTTCCAGGGACTCTTTGCAGATGTGAGCTCAAGATGCGCAGGTCCCCAAGATCCTGGCCCGCTTGCGGGCTACCGACATGGTCCAAGGGCCCCCTGGATGGGAGGAGTGTGAGGCCCAAGATCGTTTGGCGAATGCGTGTGAGGCGGCTCTCTGCCTCATTGCGCTGCTGCGGTTTTGGGCTTTGGGCCTCACCAGAGGGAAGATGGCGGCTGATGAAACCTTTTCGCGGGTGGGGGCCAGTATCTGGCTCTGCTTGCTCCGGCTCTCGGAGGTCTCTTTCTTTGCTGAACTCCTTGGGCGATGTGCCCTGGCATGGCAGTTGGGGTTACTCTTGGCACTCACCCGCTATCTATGCTTGCGTCCCAAATTTTCCAAAGTTCTCCTACATCGGCAAGACCGACAACTTTGCGTGGCGGAGCATATGTCCTTTCGTCCGAGACGATGCCACCCGACCTGACCTCCTGCGAATGTCCGTGTGTGAATGGTTGTTTTTCCCTTTAGCGCACGCCCCCGGCGACAGCAGCGCCAGGAAGCTTTTGGAGAAGCAGTGGATCAAGAAGATTGGCACCCTGAACCCCCCAAGGGTACATGTCCTTGCTCGTGCTCGTTCTGGGCTACGACCGCCTCACGCAGGGCTGGCAATCTTTGATGCTCCGCGGCCCGTGCTCAGACTCCGGAAGGTGCAGAAGCTTGACAGGCCGGCGCGGCACTCAGTAGCACAGCTCGCGCTCAAGTCCTGGAAGGACGGCCTGCGATTCACCGCTGCTGCGCTTGCAGGGCATCAATTCGCGGGCTGCAAAGCTGCAGCTTTGTCCGTACGGCGCCTGTCGCGCTCGGCTTGGATCTGGGTCGTCACCATTGAGTCACCATATCTCCCGGCATGAGGATGGCTGGAGACGCCGGAGGGCGCTACAGATGCTGCGCAGGGTCACCCGCATACGCCGTGACGCTCCACAGCCCATCTCCATCATGAATTGTTCAGTCCCATGGCTCGGTTCCAATGTTGCAAGGACGCTGATTTTTGCAGGTGGTCCGGCGCCTCCTGGCTGATTGGCGGCGCTCCGGCTATTGGTTGCCCGTGATGCGGCACGCCTGTCTCCGAGCCCAGTGGAAAGCTACCCCGACTCTGGCGAACGCCTTATGCAAAGGCCCCGCTCTGACAGAACTGCTTGGAGCCTTTGCTGGCTCTTGATCCGCGCTGGCCCATTGTCACCGTGGACGGCGTCTCCCACATTGCTGCGTCACAGGGGCACATTCCCTGGCCGGACAACCTTGCTTGCTTCGCACGCTTGCCCGCGAATTTGTGCTTGCCACCAAAGAGTGCGCAAGGTGACTAGCGCAGTCCGTGCTTTCTTGCGCTCCGTCCGTGACCGCTGCAAGGTAGCCAACGAGGATCTGCTTGTGGAATCTGCTGTGGTCGGCCTCAGTGACGCCTTGGGGGAGCTCCTGACCAAGAACCAGAACCGGCTATGCGCACCTGTCACGTGGGAACAGGTTGAAGCTGCCAGACTCTTCTTGCGCTCTTTTTTCGTGCAGGTGTTCGACCAGGCATCTGGCACGGATTTTGCGTGGGATGCTGGCAGGAACCATTCGGAGGTTTTGGTTTCCTTGGCCACTGTGCAGCACCTCCCGTCGCACCTGCAGCTTGCCAAAGTGGAAGGCTCCTGGCATCAAGTGGCGGCTGGTAGTCAATAAGCACAGCGCCCCGACCACTGGTTTGCACAGCGCGGTGTCCAAAGCTATCGATGTTGCGCTGAACCACATGCCGCGCGAGACTTGGGGGATTTTTCTTCGAGCGTTTCTTTCCTTGACCTTGTGGCTGACTTCAACCAACGCGTGCAGGATAGGTTTGAGTCATGTTGCGTGTGGACAGAGGCAGCTGGCATGGTTGACTGTTTCCACCCCCTTCCTTGCGACCAGGCACCGCTAGCTTGGGATGCAGTGGCCACTTTCTTGTCGAACGGGGTATCCATTTCATCAGCGTGCCTCGCCGGAAGGGTCTTGGTCCTGGAAGATTTGGACAATGCTTGGATGTTGGATGGGTTTGCTTCTCCCTCGACCAGATTCGGCTGGTCCTGCAGAATTTCGCGGCCACGAATTTCTCCCATGGGTGATGCTCTCAGCGGGGCAGCGCTACGCCTGTTCAAGTGGCGGCGTGAGTCCCTTTGTGCTTCCCACGAGGCAGCCGATACTGTTTCCTTTCCTGGCACGTGCTGCAAGCACGCTTTGGTGAAGGGTGTGAACATCCTCGTGCTGGATGTCAGTTACAGAGATGACATCTGTTTGTTTTGCGCTTGGGATTCTGCGGCCATTCTGGAGAAGCGTGAGATTGCACGGTGGGCAGGCCGCCGTTTGCGAAGAAGATTCTGCGTTGACACCACGCAGCATCAATCCTTCATTGGCTTGAACACCTCTTGGTTTGGCACGCAGCTGGTTGTTTGGCCATGTTTCCTAGATCCTTTGGGCAGCTTGACCTACGATATTCCTGACTTTAGGTCTCTGAAGCCTTGGAATTCGTGGGCGCCTGCATCACAGAAGGCTGCTGCTATCAAAGGGTCGATGTGCAGAATTTGGTACCTTTCTAATTCGGCTGAAGTTCGACTGGTCGCGTGGCATGAGCTGTTTTGCAGTTTGGGTTTGGCCGGTTTTCCACACTACTTTATTGCAAGAGTCGCCCGAAGGTGGGCAAGGACATGGACACCCAAATGCGGTGATTGGAAGGTCGGGGTTGCGCTTGATGAGATTAACGGAGTTCTCGGAGCTTCGGTTTAAAAACGTGCCTTCCCTCTGATGCTTTGTGCCGAGGTAACCAGGGGCGGGTGGGTACAGTTTGCTGGCTCATTCATTTGAACGACGACCGCAGTTTATCTTTATTTTTCATGGCCCTGACTCTGATGGAGTCTTTTTGCGGCTTGTGTTTTGCTGGTACTGAACTCCCCTATGACACCGCCAATGACTATTTGCATGTCTGAAAGCAGATCCGATCCATGCACATTCAAGGCTACGGCCCTAAATGGTCCTTAATCAACCCAAATACTATTGTGTAATCGGCTCAGAATCAGCAAATGAAACATGGGTAGGCTCTGAATCAGCATATGAAACATGGGTAAACCCTTCAGGTGACGGGATTGTGCTGATTCGAGATTCATCTCAGAGCAAGTCGACCTGTTGATCTTTGGGTTTCAGTTGTGGCAAATTTATCTACGTGTTTTCCCAGTTACGCTCCCCACAAAGTCATCACCCCATCGACCACCACCAGCTTCCGACGTCTACTCAGAGGCCAGGGGTCCATCAATTTTCCCTTTTAGACCTTCAAAAGTCACATGTTCGTTGGCACTCCTCAATCAAATGTTAAGGGGGAAATCAAGTGACCCCTGAAGAGCTGCAATTGTGAGTGACGTCATCATCCCTCCTGGTCGTCAAAGGTCAAGTCGCTCGCCTGTGCAGAGACATCTGAGATCCTCAGCGTGAGTGCTCGCCACTGAAAAAACGTCCACTCTTTCCAATCCTTCTTTCTGGCAAACCAATGAAAGCCGAAAAGATGTGAGGGGGGGCGGTGCGGGGTGGTTGTATGGTAGTTGCTCTTTCTCCAGTACTCGGTGTCAACATTGGAGGCATTGCAAAAACTGAATGAAGGGAAGGGAGTCGCCCCGACTCCCCAATAAAAGGGCCTGTTCCCCGAACACGTTCTGTTGTAGCCACAATGTATGGGGGGGGGGTGGGGTTGCCTTTCCGGGGAAAGGGAAAATATGGAAAATCATGTGGGGCCCAACCCCACCCCACACAACGGGCTGTTCCATCCCAGCAGCGCCAGGCTGACCGGCACGGTCTGCTCCGAGAGGCTGGACTGGGCGTAGGCAAGCACCTGAGAAACTAATTCGGTTCTTTTGACGCCCTGTTGGAATTGGTGGTTGAGTGTCTGCAAGATGTGGATTAGGGGTTGCCCAACGGTTATGTACCTGGTAGTTGAAGTAGAAGGTATTTGTTGGACTGCTGAAGATTTCGACCGAACCTTGCATTGCGTGCCGCTACGTGCCAAGCGGGTAGGGGCATTAAGGCGTCCTCCTCTGGAGCGTTGCCGTCTTTGTTCTCAAGTGAGCGAGAGAAAGCCACACACGCACAAGTACCGAATGTCCAGCTAAGGTATTGTTTCAACCACCCAAGAAAAGTGGTCTGCAGGGGACCCCTGAAACAGCAGCGACTAACATGGTTGCATCAAATATTAGTGGCCAATTCCCCATGTGGTTTCTGGAAGGTATCACAGAAGTGGGGGTCAAAGTCCCCCAACTGGTTCTGCGCCATTTGTCCTGGCTAAAGAACGAGATCTTTTGGAAGACTGAAAAGGCGCCAGTGGCAAACTACCAATCATGGCTTTAGGTGCCACTTAAACTGATTATTTGCCAGTCATGACTATCCCTTCAGAGCCAGTCATGGTTCCAACTGTATTCCCCCTTCAAGGGCGGATCAAAGCATCACCATGTCTACCTCAGCCTTTGCCCCCTAATTCAAAGTGGCACGTGTTTGATTCTGGTCCAAGCTTAGTGAAAGTTGTTAAACCCTGTGTAAACCAAGCCAAATCCCGGCTCATTGGCTTGCTATATTTTGAGGTGTCATTTTTAAAGATACCCTTTTTGGGGTGGTTTTCAAGAAAAATAGAAAGCACAACCCCATTGGGGTCCCTTTTGACACATACCCATTTCCACTTACAGGGTGGTTTCAATGTCCAACATCTCCTTGGAAAGCAACATATCGAATCAGCTTGCTTCGCTTCCTTCTGGTGGTAATCGCTGAGGTCGGCCAAGGCCCCCCACATACTGGAAGCCTCCCAGCGCGGTGTCTTGCGCCAAGCTGGCCTGGCGGACCAGTGCAGGGAAATGGAAACATCTTAACATCTTACCCAACACAGAATGGTTGGCTTCCCAAGTCCCTTTCAAGGAACCCAAACACAATTTGACCCTCAAGAGAAGACAAACCCAACGAGCTATTCGCTTCTCAGAATTCGCTTCTCAGTGCTAAACCAATCCAAAACTCCCTTGGCGAATATGACGCGCGCGCTCACAAGGGTGCTCCTTGTTTAGACCTGAAACTGGACAAATGTAGGGAAAGCTAAGATCTTGGGTGTGGACATCAGGGGTTTTGCAACCAGAAGTTGCCAAACTCTATGGAAAGGCTGCTGAGTCAGTGAGTCCGGATTCCTCGAGTATGAGGCTACGGCGTTGCTCCCAAATCCCAAGGGTTGACAAAAGGAAAACATGGCACTCTTCACTCGGGCCCGAGTCCATCCGTCCGTCCGTCAAACTGCTCCTCCGTGGCCACCGCAGTGATGTGGGACCGCCCGGCACCCAGCAGGTCCAATGCCAGGAATCTGAGATGGACACGGAAAATCAACCAGCATCTATTCATTGAGTATTTATCCATGTGCGAAGTTGCCCATCCCCGGTAGTGCTCAGCATCTATGGGGGGCTGGACACTTTCGGACCTGGGATAGCAATTCCCTTAAGTAGAGATATCTACCAAGGGTCCCAAAGAAGAAAGAAACAGAGATACAGCTAAGAAAATAAAGGACTCTGCTTGCTGGTTATGGTCACTTTTCAAACAATGAAGAAAAATAAATAAAAAAAATCTGGCTGACTTCAGACCGCTGCTCTGCTGCACGGAGTCTTTCACGGATGTTCAAATTGTCGTACATCTTCCGAACTAAGTCTGTCATGCGTGACAGTGCAATGACTTAACACATCTCTGTGCAAGTCTCAGAACAGCTGTCGACAATGAGCCAGCTTCTGGTATCTGTCTAAAACGACCCAACTTCTTCTGCATAGCAAAGGGCTACACATTTGACTGTGATTGTATTTCCCTGAAACGCTTCAAAGCACATTTAAGCTTGGTTGAATCAAAGACTCCCCGGACTCTAGTTCTTTGAGTCTTCAATCCAGGAGGCTTCCAAAAACCTTTGGAGTGCAATCAAGAAGGGGGCATACTGGATTAAAGCATCCGGGGATGCTTCTGTTTAAAGTCAGAAGTTGCCGATTCCTGGGGTTCGGCTCCTTGGAACTGAGCTAAGCCCCTGGCACCTTGTACTCATCAACCAGTTCCAGGTTGCCTGTGCACTTCAGCTCCCCCTTCCGTTTTGAGGTCGGCATCTGAGAGCTTCATCTCAATATGGGTTGGCTGTTTGCCGCCAACTTAAGTCATGATCACAGAAAGAGGCTAGCATGTTTAAGCCCCGTATTTCCACCCCTAATTTGGAAGGTTGGTGAAGGAGAAGTGATGGGCTGTGTCTACAAGAATGCTTTTTTGGTTAGTCGGACCCCTGACCCCGGTTTTGGTAGCTTGTTTCAACTAGCTGTCCAACCTACAAACGTCACCAGCCTCCCGAAAGCAACTCACGAATCAAGCTGGTTTTCTCGACCTGGGAGTAGGAGCCCTGTTGGCGAGGGAAAGCACAGTGCTTCCAAACAAGCCATAGAGGATGAATAGTTGAGAACCAGAAGCACTGAAGGTAAACACACAGACACAGACACAGACACAGCGACCGAGAGACACAGAGACACACAGACACAAAACACACACACAAACAAACACACACAAACACACTTGATGGGAGATACAGCAAGCACTGGAGGCGCACCCCAACTCTGCAAACCAAAAGGAGTTTCGGCAGGAACGCCAGCTGCCAACAGGATTACTGCATTCCGGGGCATTCGTCAAGGTGGCGTCCAACTCCAAAGGTTGCCAAAAGAAGGAAGGAAGAGAAAAGCGACGGACCCCTTAGGAACAGGGGGCACACACACACACTGGAGGGGGAACACACGGGGCAACCGAAAACAGAAAGGGAAAAAGACAGAAAAGAAAGGAAAGGAAAAGAAAAGGAAAGAAGAAGAAAAGGAAAGAAGAAGAAAAAGAACAGGAAAAAGAAGGAACCAGAAGGAGCGCCTCCATCTTTTCCTCTCAACGCCTAGGGCTTCATGCTGCTCAGCTGGACTCAATCGAGGATGGCCCGTAAGGCCGGCCGGCAGCTTTGGAGACCTTCTTGGCGTAGCGGTTGCTCGGGTCTCCATGGGCCGGGCAGAGGTGAGACATGATCCGCATCGAGGGCGCCGGGAAGATGGAGATGGAGGCGTTTGCGAAGAAGTGGTGGAAGTGGTGGGGGCGGTGAAGGCATGGAGATGCCTGGTCGCATGGGGCCTGGTCCGTTGTGTCAGGAGTGGCCTGTGTTGCAGCCGAAGACTTGGGTGTAGAGCGAGTGGCTGCACAAAACGTAGTGCAGCTCGGTGGTTCCAAGTAAATGTCCCCTGAACGCTGTTGCAGAACCCAACAAGGTCATCGTTGTGATAGGAAAGCTCCACGTCGTCATCAGTCTCTGCGAAGTACGTTTTAAGCTGCCCCAGATAGTAGGGGTGGTGCTCAGACCCCACGACTTTGACCAGGTGTTGTTTGCCAGTTCACCGAGGACATAGTAACAGCCTTGAGGAGCCTTCGATGGACCACCTTGTTATAAGCGATAATGGTGCGACCCGGCTTCCAGTCCTTCTTCCGCTTGAGGAAAACCTTGCCCATGGGGGTGGCTGTGATCTCCTGCCGGTACGTATACTTCTTCCGGATACGTCTGGGGACTGCTTCCAGGATTGTGGCGTCTGCTTGTTGGGCACTGAGGTTTGTAGGCAAAGGCATGAAATTCCAGCCAGGTGCGTTGAATACCGCGGAAGTAGATGCACGGGCAGTAAAACATGAGGTGATGGTTGTCATGATCCTCGTTGTGGCACACGAAGTCCTCCAGAAGGTGGCACTGGATAATGTTGAGCTGATGTTTGGTCAGTAGTTGATGCTTGCGGGCATGCGAGCATGTTGCTGGTACTGAGTGTTGAGGAGTGTCATCAACGGCGTGTGAAACTGGTCTAATGGCAGGCCATGATGCAGGCACCACTAGCGAAGACTTGCTGCCGGTACGTCGATGCATCCACATAGTAGGAAGCCTGGGCGGAAGTAGAACACGTGTGTAGGTAGCTCTTGAAACTTGAGCTCGTCGAGACCCGCGGCAATGTGGCCCTGGATGTTAAACAGTCAAGGCTGTCGTTGTAACCAGGAGGCACATGCGCATTTGTCCGGCCCTGTGCCGGTGCATCCTGGAATTTGTCATAGTTCCAAGCTCGATACTTGGAATGGAACGGGAAAGCCCAGCCACGGTGATGAAGTAGTAGCTTGTTGCAGGAGACTCTGTGTGGTGGTCTGGTAGTCCGGGTGGGAGAGCCAGGCAAGACGGAGAAGACGATTGAACTTGGGGGCCTGGAGGCCTGGAGGCGCCGGAAGGTGCGCTTGAGTATGGTGCGGACTTGATGCCGATGAGGTTGTTCAACGTTCCCAGAAAGACGGTACAGTGCGTAGTAGCAAGGTCCGCATGCTTGCCGCTGCGAAGCCGTCTCTCCTGCTCCCACGACTTGGTCAGTGAGGTTAGCTTTGCGAGGATCATCCAAAGAGCGACTTGGTGGTAGTTGCGGCCATGCACTGCGCAGCTGCGACGTCGAAGCCGTAGGAAGAGTCTTCTGCCGAAACGGGCCAAGGTTGATCTGACAGGAACTTGGTAGCTGTGTGCCCCGTCAAACTCGTTTGTGCTTGCGGTAGATGTAAGGCCAGTTGAGCGATGGCTGGCGCATGCTGGTGAGGGCGTGCTCCTGGACCCAAGCGGTCAAGTGGCCCGGTGATGTGAAGATGATCCCGGCTGTAAACTCGTCGTAGTTTTGGAGATGATGCCACCAGCTGAGAGCGGGTTCTGCATTGACGAACTGCCTTGTTGTATGCAGTGGAGGTTTGCCCGTCGATTTTGGTCCTGTCTGCCAATGTAGACATCCGGCAAGGGGTCAACTGATCACACCGCATTGGGCTGTTGGAACGTACCGAAGGTGTAGGTGCTGGGAGTGATTTGAACTTCAGGTCCGCAAGAGAGCGGTGACCACCAAAGACTCTGACCACATGGATAGTTGTTGTGGACCATAGGAGTGCTTGTTGCAGAGTAGCCGGCCACACAGGGTCCGGAATGCCATAGTGCCGCGCTGATGCATGGACAAGAGCTGGTGGAAGAGGCTGAGGAGCGATCGCGTCTCCGGAGCCCACATCGCAAGGTGGTCAACAGGCACCGAACAGGAAACCGAAACTGCCAAAAAACCGAGGTAAAAGGCGCTATAATACCGAAAGTCCGTCAATGAAGGCTGCTGCCGCTTTTTCCTGCGCCGCGGCGAGGGTGGCGAGGAGGGTGAAGATGGAGACGAGGGCCATAGCAACTCCACTTGCCGTACATGTGTAGCACCGCGATGAATTCTCCGAGAGCCCTTGGCGACCAACTTTGAGTTGGTCCAGAGTGTCGGCCAACAGCTCTTTCTTGACGAGGTCCAAGTATGTGGACTCGTTGGAAAGGGCACGTTCTTGCAGCCAGGTCTTGAAAACCTTGTTGCTGAGGGTCGATGGCAGAGCGATCTGCTGGAAGGCGCCAAGTCACCGTATAGCCTGGTGCGGCGGGTGTGGTGGACGAGGACGAACGAGGCTGTTTTTCTGGGGTGAGCTTGATGCCTTTGCTCTTGTATCGCTCGATGGTCTGCTCGAGGGATGCTATGTTGCGCAGGTCCTGCTTTGCTGGTTGCAGGGGCTCAATGAGATCCTGGTGGTCAGTGGCTCCATGAACTGCTTGGCCTCCGCGCGTTTGTCCGCGAATTTGCTGTCATGAAGGGAGTAGGCCGTGCGGTCGATGTCAACCTCCCTGTCCCGAAGGGCCCTGAGCATGCTGGTGAGGAGAACTGCCTTGGCTTTGGAGCGGGCCATCACAGCCTCAGGGTGCTCCGCTAAAGCAGCGCGGCGTGACCATAGGCTGGGCTGGATGTAGCGAGACCTTGAACTGAACTTCACGCTGATTTAAAGGATGGTGATGATCTGTTGGAGCAGGTAGCATAGGCACCTTGAGCAGGATCGGCTGGAGCAGGAGGAGCAGGAGAGGCCTGGTCGATGAGACGCCATGGAAATGTGAAGACCACTGATGTGGCCACTGCGAAGCCATTGGAGGCGCCGGCAGTTGGTGCTGCATTCGGGCTCCGATGCTACCCTGCTCATTTCATGATGATTCGAAAAATCGGACTTGCAGACATCTTCACTGCGATACACTATTTTCGCACGGAGCTCGTTTTGCGACAAAAAGCACGCTCGGCCGACTGCCTGCGTCATTTTCCCTGCTTCTCTTCTGCCATATGACTTTTCTTTTCCTTTTTTCTTTTTCTTTTTACGCTCTGGTTGACCCTGACGACCGCCTTGGCAACAGTTGTTGTTTTCTGGTTCCCGTTCCAATATTAGTGTGTGTATCGGTTTCAGTGCCTTGGCGTCGGTCGGCCAAGAAAGGCCGATGATCTGGCTGGGATTATTTACCCAGGAACGTCCGGGAATGTAGTGCACAATGTCGGGGCGATCGGGGTTGTTGAGCTCGTCGATGATTGCCCTTTCCCCCCCACTTCGACCGGGGGTGCACTTCCCCACTGCCCTTCCGCAAATCAGGAGCTGCGCTTGATTGAAGCTCATCGTCCAGTTCGCTGACATACACTCCTCGTCATCGTACTGTTGGTAGCCCGAAAGCTTTGCTCCCTGCGCGTAGAAGCCCGGACAGCCGTGGCTGTGCTGGTGAGACGTCGTTGCGGGTGCGCAGGACGTTGCGGGTGCCGCCAACACTGCTTGTGTGGCTCCAGAACAGCATGGGTCTCTCAGCATGGGTCTCTCCTTGGTGGGCTCTTGAAGGCGCACCGTTCTGAAAGAATAGGTGCCGGGTGACGTAGGAGTGGTCTGCATCCTGCCGAGTTGAGCGTGGCTGACACATAGTCCAGCTGAGCTTGGTTGACTGGAATCCCCTGATCGATGAATGGCATGACCAGGTTGCGGAGCTGTGCGCGGCACGGGTTCGGGATAACGAGCGAGGAGAATGGTTGCCGCCGTGGAGGTTGCCGCGTGGCGCGTCACTGAGTTTCGACGAAGTAGCCGGTCGAGTAGAGGCCGCGGGTGGAGCCGAGGGAGTTGAAGGAACCGAAGGCGCGGAGTGAGGGGCCGCCGAGTGAGCCACCCGACTGTGAGAGCGAGGAAGTGGCGCCGGTGGGGTCGCGCCGCATCGGCCGGTGATGCCGGAGTGATGGTGGGATCTGGCCGACTTGTGTCGCTTTGGGAGGGCGGTGGGGTTCGTGATCTGCGTCTTTTGCGACGCTGAGGAGTTGCCGTGGTGCCAAAATTGGTGTAGGCGTAGGCTTCGCCCTCCACCGCCAGGGGCGGTGATGGAAAGGTTGGCTTGGCCTTGGCTGGGATCACGGGCAGTGGTCCTGCAGATGGCAGCGAAGCCAGTATGAGGAGCCAATGGCGCAGGAATCACAGGTTGTCGAAGGAGTACTCGAGCTTGTCACCGGCGAGCACAGAAATGTACGTGCCGAAGAAACACGTCCTGCCGAGTTGGAGCTAGACACGGTGCGTCAGGGCGTCAGGGGCCGTCACGTCTAAGCCAGAAAATGCCTGAAAGGGTCATGACAATTGGGGAAGCAACAATCTGGGCACGGTAGGGGGACGGTCCTTCTAATTGGCAATCCGGTGAAGGGCAAAGTCAGCAGAATGGTCAGAAGAAAAGGTCTGTGCATGAGGCAAATCGAATGCCTCGAAGGGTTCACGGTGGCTCGGAAGCAGTGCCGGTACACACCTGATGGGAGATACAGCAAGCACTGGAGGCGGAGTTTCGGCTTGACGTAAGCCCGGTAATTGTTCATCCTGCCGGCAATCCTCATCAGGAACGCCATCTGCCAACAGGATTACTGCATTCCCGGGCATTCGTCAAGGTGGCGTCCGACTCCAAAGGTTGACAAAAGAAGGAAGAAAAAGAAAAGCGACGGACCCCTTAGGAACAGGGGGCACAAACACGCACACACACACACACACACACACACACACACACACACACACACACACACACACACACACACACACACACACACACACACACACACGCACACACGCACACACGCACACACGCACACGCACACGCACACACACACACACACACACGCACACGCACACGCACGCACACACACACACACACACACACACACACACACACACACACACACACACACACACACACACACACACACACACACACACACACACACACACACACACACACACACACACACACACACACACACACACACACACACACACACACACACACACACACACACACACACACACACACACCCACACCACCCACCCACCACCCACCCACCCACCCACCCACCCACCCACCCACCCACCCACCCACCCACCCACCCACCCCACCCACCCCACCCACCTCACCCACACGCACCCACGCACCCACACACCCACGCACCCACGCACCCACGCACCCACACGCACCCACGCACCCACGCACCCACACACCCACGCACCCACGCACCCACGCACCCACACGCACCCACGCACCCACGCACGCGCGCGCGCGCGCACGCGCGCACGCACGCACGCACGCACGCACAATCCACGGACGGTGGTTGGTGGCTGGTTTCCGAATGGCCAGAGATATTGCCAGTCAGTTCACCCGTGGACTACGGGTTTCGCAGCAGGGGCTCTAGCATGTTGAACTAAAGTGCTGGAAAAACCTGAAAACGGGCAGTTCCTGCAGGAACCCTCATGGCTGCACTTGAGAAAAGACCAGACTTTTGACATCCAAGGCTGAGGCTTGCCAGTTGCATTTGCCGCGTCTTCCCTGCGAATGAAACTCTTTGGGTCGCCCTTCCGCAATTCCATTTTGAAGGGGGTAGCCCTGCATGGTCTCCCAAGTGTTTTCCCACCTTTCACGACAAGAAGGGGTCCCCAGTTTTAACATTCGGCCGATGATTATCTGAGCTCCTCATGGTTTCAGACAGACGGAGGCGCGGTACCACCAATTGACAAACTACTTCAATTCGCAAAGCCCAAGGAAACATTCACAGGCTAGTGGAAGGCCTTCCCAAAGACCTATTCCGTTCCCCATTTAGCATCAGACCCAGTGCTTCCATTTGTTATAGCAGGTAACTAGGTATGTTTGCCTCCAGGTTTCACATGATGGTCTCACACGATGGTTCCCCTTGCCTGCAGCTGGAAGCACTGGGAGCACCCAAAGCCTTCCGCCCGCCTGCCGGCTCCAACACAATCGCGCCCCCGAGCTCCTCCGCGTCCAGGTCTTCATCCTCGAAGGCGACGGAGGAAAAGGTCACCACGCTGTCGCCTGAGCTGAGTACAGCGGGGTAGGGAGAAACAAAACGCATTCTGCACGATATATATATATATATATATATATACATATATATATATGCCTAATATATATATATATGTGAAATTAGGGAAATCTCAAAGGACCTTCATCTCTCGAAGAATGTCGCGTCTGCGCTGCCTGACCCGGGGTCCTCTCGGCCCCAAGCCGAATCTGTTGAAGAGCAGGTGTACCATTGCGCCAAAGGGACGGCCAAATAATTTACACCACCCAACGCGTATGCCTCAGTGAGAAAAGACCTGCGGCCCTCAGGGCCGAAGCCAAGACGGGCAATCTGGCACCCAAGAGAAAAAACAAAAAAGAGCCAGTCCGAATCGCTGGGGACTGGCGCAAGCAGAGGCGTCTGGAACCAGAAAAGCCAAAGGCGGGGTGTCAAGAGGCATAAAGCCACAAGAACAGACAAACACCCACCAGGCAGGACACGACACAAAGCTATGAAGGCGAACCGCCCTTCGCAACAGACCCGAGGTGAGGGGGCAAATCATCATCAGGGAAAGCCAGCAAAGCTTCCACCAAATCGACCACGGCACCGAGTAAACACGTCCACCAGACACAGCCAGCCCAAAGGCCCTGGGTCTCGCTCCCTCAGGCACGTGGGGAGCCGAAATGCGTCAAAGTTTATCTGTGTCAGCTTTATAACTTGTCCAGATCTATAGAATACGTGTGGCCAGACCAAACATTTTGGCGTCCACACCAAACAAAAGGAATTATAATCCAAAAACAAGCAACCAATTATATGGGTATGAGCTTCATCTGGTAGTGAGCCTGTGGGCATTATTTGCATCGGGATTTCTGCGAACCATGGTCAAAACTACTTGCTTCCATAAGAACACATGATGCTCATGTCGACCTTGAGGGTTCTACATCTCGTACCAACAAGATTGGCTCAACGAACCTTCAGAACGCAACAAAAACATGGGTGTGTCCGAACACTGCGGTCGCAGCCCGGACATGTTGGCATGGAGAGATCCCGTGTCTGGAGGTCCATTTCGCATCACCTCTAAACTCTGCACGGCCCAAGACTTGAAGAGACCCATTTAGGGAAACAGACCTGTTCGGCTGAGGTTCTGATCTCCAGCGTCTGCGGGGTACTTTGCTCCCCCAGGACCTCGGACCGTCGAAGCGGAACGGAGTCTGACTTTGGGACTTCGGGGGACCGAAGGCTAGGAGCCATAAAGAGGCTCTCCGCAGACTCTTCATCTCAAAGCTGTTGGGTCTCTGCTCAGAAAGCTGCCAGGAAAGGTTTCGCCGGGGCTAGGGCTATCACCTGGGCTTCCACGTCGCTTAGATAAAGATGAAAGCTCAGGGCCCAAAATGGATTCTTACCGGGACACCCCAACTTGTAGCGCCTTGAACCCTGGAGTCAGAGAGAAAATTGTGAAATCTGCCATTTGGTGGTGGATGCTCTTCGAAATTGTGCAGATAGTGTCATCGTCTTCTACAGACTTCCACAAACATCTCACTTTGTGAAATAGGACCCCTTCACAATCAACCTGATCCCTCGTACTTGGCCAAACCGTTGGAGCCCCATCCATAGCTTCCAGGGGCAAATGACGCGGGTGAAAGCGCAAACACTCCCAGGCCAAGCCCTGCAGGTTGGCGACTTGCAGCGGCGCAAATGATGGCAATGCCCAAGCAATACCCAAGCCAAGCCTTGCAGGTTTCCAGCGGTGCAAATGATGCAGCTGATGCTACATATTGAGATAAATAATATAAGAACCGTTGGAGTCCTTAGACCAATTAGTTGTTTGTATGGAAACGAAACTCTGCAGCTTGCCAACCTGCGGGATGTGGCTTGATCCCCAACATGCAGGGCTTGGCTTGGGGCTTTGCTTGGGCATCAGCTGCATCATTTCACCGCTGCCCCTTGGAAACTCTGCAGGTCGACAACCTGCAGGGCTTGGCTTTGGGTTGTGCGGGTTTGCTTGGGCACAAACAAAATATCAAAAAACGGTCTGGATTGTCCAAGAATTCACCCCCTCTGCAAATAAATCAATTAGCAAGAAACCAGTCCCACTTAGCGTAATCCGCCGACATTGCTCGGCGTGTCGGATACTTACTAGAGGATAGAGGATAACCCCCCCCCTAACCCCCCCCCGCCCGACGTCTATTACGTAGGTTTTTTTTTTGGGGGGGGGGGGGGTCCCCCACGTACCGCGCGGCAATTTGATGACGTTCCACTAAACGTAGTCTTCGGGGAGCCGGTGTCGCAAAACAGGGGTCCCAGGCTCGATTCCCCCTGCCGGCTTTTTTGCTGGCTTGGGCTTCCTGCATCCTTTTGCCGAAAATCTGGAAAAACTCAATGTTTTTGGACGTCCTCTTTGCGAAAACGCTGGAAAAACCGTGTTTTTTTGCGGGAAATACTGGGGAGCAAAGGGGAAGTGCAAGGATACATACATACATACATACATTACAGTACATTACATTACATTACATGACATTACATGACATTACATACATACATACATACATACATTACATACATACATACATACAGGCATACATGTATGTGCATGCATGCATGCATGCATGCATGCATGCATGCATGCACACATACATACATACGTACATACTACATTACATACATACATTACATTACATACATACATACATTACTTACATGCATACATTACAGACATACATACATACATACATACATACATACTTACTTACATACATACATACATACATACATACATACATACATACATACATACATACATACATACATACATACATACATACATACATACATACATACATACATACATACATACATACATACATACATACATACATACATACATACATACATACATACATACATACATACATACATACATACATACATACATACATACATACATACATACATACATACATACATTACATTACATACATACATACATACATACATACATACATACATACATACATACATACATACATACATACATACATACATACATACATACATACATACATACATACATTACATACATACATACATACATACATACATACATACATACATACATACATACATACATACATACATACATACATACATACATACATACATACATACATACATACATACATACATTACATACATACATACATACATACATACATACATACATACATACATACACATACATACATACATACATACATACATACATACATTACATTACATACATACATACATACATACATACATACATACATACATACATACACACATACATACATACATACATACATACATACATACATACATACATACATACATACATACATACATACATACATACATACATACATACATACATTACATACATACATACATACATACATACATACATACATACATACATACATACATACATACATACATACATACATACATACATACATACATACATACATACATACATACATACATACATACATACATACATACATACATACATACATACATACATACATACATACATACATACATACATACATACATACATACATACATACATACATACATACATACATACATACATACATACATACATACATACATACATACATACATACATACATTACATACATACATACATACATACATACATACATACATACATACATACATACATACATACATACATACATACATACATACATACATACATACATACATACATACATACATACATACATACATACATACATACATACATACATTACATACATACATACATACATACATACATACATACATACATACATACATACATTACATACATACATACATACATACATACATACATACATACATACATACATACATACATACATACATACATACATACATACATACATACATACATACATACATACATACATACATACATACATACATACATACATACATACATACATACATACATACATACATACATACATACATACATACATACATACATACATACATACATACATACATACATACATACATACATACATACATACATACATACATTACATACATACATACATACATACATACATACATACATACATACATACATACATACATACATACATACATACATTACATACATACATACATACATACATACATACATACATACATACATACATACATACATACATACATACATACATACATACATACATACATACATACATACATACATACATACATACATACATACATACATACATACATACATACATACATACATACATACATACATACATACATACATACATACATACATACATACATACATACATACATACATACATTACATACATACATACATACATACACATACATACATACATACATACATACATACATACATACATACATTACATACATACATACATACATACATACATACATACATACATACATACATACATACATACATACATACATACATACATACATACATACATACATACATACATACATACATACATACATACATACATACATACATACATACATACATACATACATACATACATACATACATACATACATACATACATACATACATACATACATACATACATACATACATACATACATACATACATACATACATACATACATACATACATACATACATACATACATACATACATACATACATACATACATTACATACATACATACATACATACATACATACATACATACATACATACATACATACATACATACATACATACATACATACATACATACATACATACATACATACATACATACATACATACATACATACATACATACATACATACATACATACATACATACATACATACATACATACATACATACATACATACATACATACATACATACATACATACATACATACATACATACATACATACATACATACATACATACATACATACATACATACATACATACATACATACATACATACATACATACATACATACATACATACATACATACATACATACATACATACATACATACATACATACATACATACATACATACATACATACATACATACATACATACATACATACATACATACATACATACATACATACATACATACATACATACATACATACATACATACATACATACATACATACATACATACATACATACATACATACATACATACATACATACATACATACATACATACATACATACATACATACATACATACATACATACATACATACATACATACATACATACATGCATGCATGCGAGAGAGGGAGATTGGGGAGAGAGAGGCTTGGGGGGATGGGGAGGATGGGAGCAGAGGGAGGGAGAGAGGACGACAGAACACACAAGGGAGACAAGGAAGAGAGGAAGAAGGAGAAAAGGGAGAGGACAATGTCGGCGGACTGAGCCGGAGGCTCTAAAGTTTCAGTAGCAAGGGTAAGTAAAAACAGCTGTTTCCCAATAGTATTAGAATTGATTAGCATAAATAAATTAGAACAAGTAGACAAATTAATCTGGAAATCCCCAAGGAGCAGCCATTCCGTTGAGAATAATTAGGGCAATTAGAAGTTAGAACAGAAGCCACCCATGCCTTTTGGAAAACTTAGCAGAATCGGAATGGTCAGAATGAATAGAACGGACATTCCAAAATAGACACCAGTCCTCAAGGAAACTACTTAACTACTCTTAAAATCATTTTACACTTATGGTTTAGAATCATTGGCACAAGCGGGATTAGTCGAATAACCTAGAACCCTGAATCTGCACTTCCCCCAAAAGGCACCCCTTAGGAATTGTCAGATTGCTAAGAAACATCAAGACATGTTTCAAAATGTTCTGAATAAGTGCAGAAAGTAGACTTCTTAGAATGATCAGAAAACACAATGGAGCTGGAATCCTTCAAAGGGCTCCCGTCTCTTTGGTTTTATATTAGAATACTTTTGCAAAGGGCACCCATCCCTCTGGAAATAGCTAGAACTATTAGAACCAAGTCAGGCTCCGCGTTTACTTCAACATGAATCCGAAATTCTCCGCACCCGTCCCTGTGTTCCAATGAAAGTCAACAGCAGCAAATATGGCCACACGCCCACCACTCGTAATATTTTGGGGCAATTCAACAATCAGCAAAATTGAATCTGGACTTTTACCAAAGCCACCCATCCCTTTGGGAATGGCGCAATGCGAATTGTATTCTTATTGGAAAAACATAATAATAATGGATATGAATCTCACAAAAAAGCGCCCGTCCCTTTGACTAACTAGAAAACTTGAAATGTGTATAATGATCCTAAATATATGTTTTGAATAATTGGAGCAATTTGGATAAATTGAAGAAGTAGAGACAATGAATCCGGAATTCCCTAAAAGGCGCCGGTCTCGTGACGAAAAAGCAAAGTAACTAGAATAGTAAGAACAATTAGAATAGCAAATGAAAATGGAATCTTCTCAAGAGGCACCTGCCCCTCTGGAAACAACTAGCATAATGAGTAGCACATTGGGCAAAATATCGTATCTAAGGAAAAAGACAACTTGAATAATTGGGGTACTTAGAATGTTTAGAACATATATTGAAACTGCAATTCAACAAAAGGCACCGGTCCCTTTCGGAATAATTAGAAAACAATAGTTGTTTTTGGGTTTTCCAGATATGCTAACTAGTCATAACATTCGGAAAAATATATTCCTTGAAAAAAAATGTATCCGAATTGTCCAAATGGCACCAGTCCCTTTGGGATTGACTTGAATCCACCGACGCCAGTCGAGCGTGTAGATGGCGTCCGGTGGTAAAAATCTGCATTCCCAAAAATTATCAGGCCTGTCTTGGCAGCACAACTTTGTCCGGTTTTTGCTGATGTCAATGGGTGTTTTTTCTGTTTTGAGCGATATTGGCTTTGGCATGGTTGGTGCTTTGGCGAGGGCAAGGGTAGTGACGATCTAAGTAAGGAACTGCTAAAATTGGAAAAACCTGAGCGTTTTTGCGAAATCCGCGTGTATAAGTGCGTCGCTGCGATTCATCCTTTTTTTGATGGCTGATTTTGGGGAAAATCGAGAAACCCTTTTTTTTTGCACGCTGCATCCCCAGCATTTCCTTGGCCAACTTGCTGCGCCCGAAGTTCATGACATTTTGGGCTTGGACATATAGTCCGGCGCGGTATAGTGTGGCTGCATCCTCCGCATTCTCAGTGGGAGAGGCAGTTAGTCTAGGCAGTTAGTCGCGGCAGTCGTCGCACCACAAATGGCGTCCGCGGATCGCGTAGCGATCTCAATAATTAGAATGTTTAGAAAACACATTGGGTAATTTATTGTTAAACGAGCTGTTCTATGTGTGGTAAGTGTTCTTATTAATCAACAAGAACGGTGGCGGAAATGAGTTCGTGTCACTGCCTCTCGAACTGTTCTGACTGTATTGATTGTTTAGTCAGTTGACTCAGTTCGAATAGTTGAAGCAGCTCGAACAATTTGTAAATGCATCCGGAACTTCCCAGCCGGCACCCTCGCATTTGGAAATTATGAACACAACTAGAACAACGAGGAAAAGTGAGCCATTCAGAGTTGAGTCATTTGAATAATTCAAGAAAGTAGAACGCTGCATTTTCACAATTATTCTATTGAATTGGAATAATTACAATAAGTGGAAACAACCATAAATCTGGAATTCGCAAAAAAGCACCAATGCCGTTGCGAATAATTATAATAATTAGAACAGTTAGAATAAGTCCTTTATATTATTAGGGAAACATGTATTTGGAGCTCCCCAAAAGACTCCCATCCCTGTGCGAATCATTACATCAATTAGAGTCATCTACGGGCATATGTTCTCTGATTATTGCAATTTCAATTTAATCTAACAAACTTGCACAATTAGGGTAATTAGAGTCTTTGGGAAAAACATGAGTTTGGAACTCACGAGAAGAACACATGTTCTTTGGAAATACAAAGAATAACTGGAACAGTTTGAATAAATTGAAATCAATCTGGGATCCCCCAAATTTGGCGCCCATCTCTGGAACACTTGTTATCAGAACAGCTAGGATACTTAGAACCGGAACAATGCATCTGGAACTCCCTCAAGTCCCTTTGGGAATAAAACAAATTGGACTCCAGCCACCCGTTTCCGGGCTCATGGAATCAGATGCTGTCCAAATACGGCCCCATCCCATCCCACTGGGAGAAATGATCAAACAAAAAACTGCGCAAAGCAGCTCCCAGTCATGAACCGAAACCAAAAAGCAAGAACAACACAAGCACGTGTCAAGAAAAGCCAAGGAAGACTTACCAACATTTGGGCCAATATGGCAAATACGGGTACGTAGTGTTTGGGTGACTCAGAGGTCCAAAAAGGCCCACGAAAATTTGGCTGTTCGGAAGATAAAGCTACAAACACTTTCCCAAATCGTGACAGGACCCTTAAATGAATTGCGCAAACGGAGACCAAAACCCCAAGATGTGGTCCAAGCTAGTCTGGCTTGTTTACTGGTTACCGCCCTGGGTCCTCAGGTTTCCGCGCAACTGGGCCCCCAATTTCTCTTGACCTCCCAAAGATCCGGCTGGTTCCATGATCGAATACTCGATTTCTCTTGGCCCCCCAGCGGACTTGGCGTAGACCAGAAGATATGGCAAGCTCTGGTCCGGGGGAATCAGAAAGCTCCTGGCACTTTCCCGCGGCAGGAGACATGGGGCAGTTCGGGTCCCTGATTGTGAGGAGTCCCCCTCCCAAATTGACAGGCCATGGAGAATTTCTGTTCAAGCATCTTGACGCCCCAACCCAAAATCGTATTTGGCGTTGCCAAAAAAGCCAGGACAGTCAAGGTTCGTTCAACGCTGGCATGTCTTGTTTCTTATGGGGCCCATGCTTAATTAAATTCACGGGAAAAGAATGGGCCCCATCTGGAAAAGAACACCTAAACGCGAAGAGGGCAAAGCATCGTGCATCACGCGTTCCACTGTTCTCAGAAAACATGTCCAACGCCAAGCCCCTGATATGAGGCACCCCCAGTTGAAATCAGGGCGTCTATCCTTCGAAAGAAAGGTCGCCAAGATCAAGACAGGGCTCCGTGCATGACCCCACCCACAGAACAGTCAAAACATGGCCTTTAAGAAGGTGATGTCACGATGTCAAAAGCCAAGCAAGCAAGAAAATGTGAATGTGTCGCACAATGAGAAACTCCTTAAGTGGTTCTGTCCTCTTGGTTTCCTTCTCAAGCAATCAGAGAAGGGAGTGAGACACACTCTAACACGGGTTGTTGCCTCCAAATCTCGAACGATGTCGTGTTTGTTCAAGCTTCCTCAACCACCTTTTCAGCACCCAGTGTTCCCAAACAAGTCTGAAGAGATTAACAGGACTTGAATTCAGACCTCCAGTGGTCATGGGAAACAGAAGAGAAAAGGAGCACCACTGGAGGTCAAGGTGAAGGAGAAGGTGCCAACCAGGCCTGGCGCCCGACCGGCGATCTGCACAGAAAATGAGAATCCTCAGAGCGTTGCTCCCAAGGTAGAAGAAACATGTGTCCTGAACAATAACAACCAAATCAAATGAGGGAGAGTGTCATGGTCAAAAGTCCGTATGTGTTTCCTTCACAAGGAGCCCCAACCTCATTCTAACACGCCTTACTTGGTCTGATTGCTACCAACCTCAAGATAAAGAGTGTCTTGGCCATGGCACCCTTGTCCAGCCCTCTCACCTTTAAGCAACATCCCTTTTGGCTTCCCTTTGCAGATGTTCATGTGCTCGTCATGGCACATGATGCCGCTCCCCGAATAGACAGGAGGGAAAATGCAGGCTCCGCTCCGTCCCCCTGGCCTTTGTGGATGAAATTGACATCTAGTTCGACCTGACCGGAGATTGGCTCCTGTTCTCTGGCGGCAGCTCCCCGGAGATTGGTATCCGACCGGTGCCATTGCCAGCCTCCGCCAGATACACAGCCTGAAGTCAGCTTCGCCCTTGATGGTTTGCCCTCAAGAACCAGGAGTTTCCCGAAACCACCAATCCAAACCACCAACCAAGAGCTACCTGATGAAGCGTGGTCGTAGAACATAACACATCCTCCCACTATAGTACCTGAGGGTACCTGAAAAATGAATTCACAGGCCCTGGGCCTAGAATTCTTACTCCCCTCTCCAAGTCATAGGCTCCAAGACGCAGTGACTTTGACCTAACCTGCCAAGCAAAATGTGTGAAGCAATCTCCCCAAATGTGGCGTGGTCCATTGTACTTTCGCTTAATTCCTTCCGATTGCTGTCTAAACTCCTGAGGGCCTATGACCGTCTCCAATAAACTGTAACAGGCAGCCTCTGCGCAACCCATCCGGGTCCCAGGTTGCCAAGAGCCCAATTTTGCCGCCTTTTCGGGGGTCCTTACAATCTAAGAATCTCGACGAGTTATCATATTTCGCCATCTGGAAACCAAAACCATACCCGCAAAACAGGAACCCACCCCACCCAAAGATGGGCGCTTGGGGGTGCTGTCAACAAGGGCGCGAGGGTTCAAGAAACGATCTACCCGAACAAAAAGGAGAATACAAGGCTTTGTCGTGTCTCCCCGCAAAAGATGGGTGGTGTCCTTTTTGGTTTCCTGTTGAGAACCCCTTTTGATGAAGTAAAGGGACAACTTTGTTTTCAACCAAACAGGTTGTCTAACAGGAAAACCCAGATAACAGGCCCCTAGACCAAACCCCAAGTCAGAAATACGACACACATATGCCTGTTGCAGCACTTACTTACTTACATACTAATTGCCCTGCCTGACTATTTGTTGGAGCTAATTGATTCATAAGCAGCATGCATGGTCAACAAAGCAAACGCTACACAAGTAGATGATATCGTAAGGTCCCAGACAAAGGGCCGGCTTCTCTTTGAGGTCCCCGCCCACCGCCCAGTTTAATGCTTTCACACAAGTACTGCACCCCGGACTCTCAGCTTTCGGCGTAGTGTTCCACGAAGGCCACGTCCGTGGGTTCCGGCCACTGCGCCCAGCCCCCAAACTCAAAGGAGTCCAAGTCCTGAGACGTCGCGGCTTTAGCTTGCAACGAATTTTGCAGCCCCCAGTTCGGGCTAGTCTGTCTATAATCTATGGTGAAACTGCTAGCCTGGCTTCCAGTTTCTGGTCTTCCTGCCAATGTTTGACGAACAATAGGCCATAGATGGCTCAAACCGAGGTTCTTGCTTCTGAGCACCCAAGCTAGACTTAACTCGGGTTCCGAGCTAAGCCTTTGTGCCTTAAGCTGAGGTCCCAGTGTTGGATTGATAATAAACTATCAACTGACTAGAGGTAGGGTTTCAAGGTTCCAGCTGTTTGATCCCGTTTCCATGTTACGAGCCCAAAGATTTAAATCCAGAGTGTCCGTTCCACTTTTGAAAGAAGTCGACGCGCAGCCGAGGCGACGCGGAGGAAGTTGCAGCCCAAGGAATATAGGGGTGCTCAAATGATGACCCGTCTTTGCTCGGGAAAAGGCAGCCGGAGAAACACGCAGCAGGTATGTTTCTTTTCGAGTTGGTACCCTTTCTGGGAGCGTTGTTTTTCAACAGAAACCCACAGAATCAGGCGTTTGAACACAACCTTTGCGAATGGGGGAAAGCTGCGTGTCGCCCTAAAAGTCGCCTGGCACAAACCAACGCGTTTGTGGTCAAATACGGGACCCTCAAAATGTGGGTTTCCCTTTGGCTTTGGTTGAACTTTCAAACAACCCCGAAAGGATTTGCATCAAAATACGAAAATACGAAACTCGGAATATTCAAATTCAGTCAATCCGCACAAAGGTTGATGAAATACGTATTTGTCTCCAAACTTGAGGGAGCCCCAAAGGGGGTTGTTTTCCCTTTTCCTCCCTTTTCAACAATCAAACAAAATTTCAAGCCTCACACGCACCCCCCGGGGTTTTCCTTCTGTCTTTTTAGAGGGGCTCGACTAAACGCAGCTTGGATTCTCCGCAGTAGGGCACACACACACACAATCACCTATGGGGGTGGCAAAGCATTGCCCTTTCTGACCTTTTGAGGATGTCTGCTGCTTGCTGCCTATCGCCTCCCCCTTCTGTGATGCTATGTAGCGGACAATGTCCATCCTTGCGGGGAACTCACAGAAATGGCAGCCACAAAGCTTGTGGGCTCACGGTTTTCTGGGTGATGGCACCTGGTCCGTGAAGTTCAGGTAGTCCATCAGGGCTGCCTGGGCGAGGCCCAAGAGCACAATGCGACAAACCCTCAAACTGAGTAAAACTTGGGTTCAACCCCCAATCCACGTGTGTGCGTGTGTACAAATGTGTATATATATATATATGCATATATATATGTATATGAACATATATATATATACACATATATGGATGGATGGATGGATGGATGGATGGATGGATGGATGGATGGATGGATGGATGGATGGATGGATGGATGGATGGATGGATGGATGGATGGATGGATGGATGGATGGATGGATGGATGGATGGATGGATGGATGGATGGATGGATGGATGGATGGATGGATGGATGGATGGATGGATGGATGGATGGATGGATGGATGGATGGATGGATGGATGGATGGATGGATGGATGGATGGATGCATGCATGCATGCATGATGTATGTATGTGCCTGGGTATGGATGGATGTATATATGTATGCGTGTGCACAGATACATGTGTATATGCGGGTCTGTATGTATACATGCATGCATACGTGTATGTATGTTTTTGTTTGTTTGAATGTAAGCATGCTGCATGTATATGTATGTTATGTATGTATAGATATGTATATACATGTACATGTGCATGTAAATGTACATGTATATGTATATGTATGTACATATATGTATGTATATGCATGCATGTGTATCTATATGCATGTACATGTATGTATGTAATGTAATGTAATGTAATGTAATGCAATGCAATGTAATGTAATGTAATGCAATGTAAATGTAATGTAATGTAATGTAATGTAATGTAATGTAATGTAAATGTAATGTAATGTAATGTAATGTATGTATGCATGCATGCATGTATGTATGTATAGATATGTGTCTGTGTGTGTATGTATGTATAAGTAAGTACATGTATGTAACAGTATGCATATGTATGTGTGTGTGTATGTATGTGTATGTATGTAAATGTATTTATGTAGGTATGCGTGTACGTCTGTGCATGTCTGTATATGTCTGTGTATGTCTGCGTACCTCTGTGTATGTGTATGTCTGTGTATGTCTGTGGTTGTCTGTGCATGTGTGTGTATGTCTGTGTATGTCTGTGTATGTCTCTGCATGTCTGTGTATGTCTGTGTATGTCTGTGTACGTCTGTGCATGTCTGTGTCTGTCTGTGTATGTCTGTGTATGTCTGTGTATGTATGTGTATGTCTGTGTGTGTGTGTCTGTGTATGTGTATGTCTGTGTATTTGTTTGAATGTGTGTGTGTATGTGTGTATGTGCGTATGCGCGTGCATGGGTACGTGTGTGTGTGTGTGCATGCATATATATATATATACATATGTACGTACGCACACACATACGGAATGTATGTATGTCTGAATGTCTCTATGTCTGTACGTCTGTATCTGTATGCATGCATGTGTGCATGTATGTCTGTATGTGCGCGTATGTATGTATGTGTGTGTGTGTTTATGTGTGTATGCGTGTGTATATCCTGTATGTGTGTATGTGTGTATGTGTGTGTGTGTGTCTGTACGTTACGTACGTCTGCTCGCAGATAGGTAGCAGGTATGTACACTCCCCTCGCACCCACGAAGGAAACATGTGCAGAATTTGAATTGTTTGATTCACCGTGCTGCAGCTTGTTCATTGTGGAATGTTGGTGAAGTTTGAGGCAGGATTGAGGATGTTGCGTTCAGATGTGGACTGGCTGGGCCAAGAGATATTGCTTTGGCACAATGAAACAAGTTTTTGTGACTGAGGACAAAGCTGTTTCGACCCAACTGAATGGAGCATGGCACCCTGCAGAAAGGAATCCGATTACTGTAGCAAAGTGCTGTTTTGAATTGTGTCCAGGGGTGAAAAGGCAGCGTAACAGGAAATTACTAGATAGCTTCCCAAGTTCAAGAGGTGCTCAATTTCCTGCGACAAGGTCAGTAAACAGCGTGCAAGCTCGAACTGCGTTGGAAATGCCCCTCGGACGGGTAGAGCTGCTTGTTTTCAGTTGCTTGAAAATATTGCAAAATGCCGCCCAACAGCACAGTTGCACGCGAAACCTTCTCCTGGCTGCGTGGGTTGTGCGAAACTGACGAAACTCCAAACAACAGCACAGTCACCTGAGAAACATGCGCTGGCATGTGCTGGCTTCATGTCAAATGGGGCAGCGTTTCGTGCAAAAGTGGCGATAAGTCACCTGGAAAAGCATGTGCCGACTTTGTGCGAAATGAGCTGGGCGTCGAACCAAAATGGAAGTGTTGCGTGAAACGTTGTCTTAACCACCTGACACACACAGAGAGACACACCCAACACAAACAAACAGCATACGCGCTGCTTTGTCCATGATCAGCCCTGGTGCGCATTGATCAAAAGATGGCATGCAAATGTCTGTGTGCATGTGTAACTGCAGGTATCAGTCCCACAGCTTCTTCGGCGCAAACTCAGAATGCCCTGCCGCGTAGGAAAGGGACATATCAGGACCCTTGGACAAGTGTATGGCCTCACCGGCCGGAGCCACTTCCCCCCGTTTGGCCCTCGAGCGGTGTCGCTGAAGGCGTAGGCCTGTAGAGGCTGTCCCCAAGATTACCGTTCTGTCTTCAAACCAGAGATGGTAACTTTGAGCACAATGCTCAGATGGACGCAGTAAAAGGAGCCAAAAGGAAAGCCATGTGGGTGCCTGTTCGCTTGCTCTGGATTGTGGGGGTCACTGGCTTCCCCCTCCATGCACGGAAGTCCAAAAACTGCCCTTTTGCGCCATGGTCTGGATCTGTGGATCATTGGTTGTCCTGCAGAGAACCATGATGGGGGTTGCACACAATCCCAAACCCCAATGAGCGCCATGGCTCACATGGGAACGGATCAACATTGGGAGAAGTTTGGCATGCCTCAGAATGAGTTGTCCATACTGACAACAACAAAAAAGAAAGAAAGAGGCAGTCTAAAAAAAAACACCCTGGTTTAAGACAGGGAACTGAGCTGCGAAAAAGCAACCCTTCTGCGTTCGCTGGGTTATTCCACATTCCCTTGCTGTAAACGTGGTGAGAAAGGCGACAAACTGCTTTGTTGACTAACTAGCCAGTTCAGTGGTGCCCACTCAAACCCCAAACTGAATCAAGTTCTCCTTTGGGCTTCCCTTTTCAAGGGCGCCAACCTTTGGCAAGGCTGCTGACCCAGCCTTAGGTGTCCTTTCGAGGCAAACAGGATTCCACTATGAACTTTTTGAGCGAAACGGCAAAATGTCAGTGAAATCCATCTATGCGCAACCGATGTGTTCGAATACGTTTGATCTTCTCAAGTTGGAACCTCGTGGTGGCTTTCCCCAGTTCAACCTTTAACCGCAAAGGCGTTAACTAACCTTCATGCCCAGGTTAAACAGCCCCCGAGTCTTCGGCTCAGCCCTGTGGCCTGTCCGGTGCTCTGCTCCGCCAGGGTGGACTTCACGTAGACCCGCAGCTCCACGAAGGAGCCCTCTGCTCTGAGGGAAGGCGGCTCAGAGTCCAGGTGCTCACCCCCTCACTCTTTTTGTGGGTTCCTTGACGGCACCCCTTTCCTTCCCAGAGGAGGGCGGGTTTCCTACCCGTCAGCGCCAACTTTGCGTTTTTTATTCATTCAAACCATGGAAGGCCCAAACAAGGGTGTTTGGAGTAGCGGTAGGGGGTGCATGTCATTGCCGCCATCAAGCGCTTGGGTCAGTCGAAATTGACTGCATGGTTGATCCCATGTCCTTGCGGGATGCATAACCTCCCCCAAAAATGCGTCGCTGTTTTATGGCTTGAAGGTGGGGTGCACTCATGTCAGGAAACCGGACCTTAGACCTGTGGGTTTGCTGGGTTATTCGCGGATTCCTGGCGACGAAGCCAGAAAGAACATAACAAACCGCCCAAGCCTCCTGGCAACTGCCCTGAGGCTCATGACCCCTACAACCTCAACCGAATGGGTACTTTAAAGTGCTCGACACAGGGCCCCACGTCACTATTTGGATACGACTTGCTAAAACAGAGTAGGCTGAACTTGCAACACTGCCACAAATACAGATCCAGTGGCAAGAATTTGCAACCCATTGGTTTGAAAACCTCTGCGTGTTACTTCTGATTTCTCGAGGGAACCTCATGTGGGATTTGCCAGAAGCCGTGGATTTTGCCACAAAATAGGATACCTGGATGTACATGGGAAAAAAGGGGCCTTTTGGGGGACATTTGCGGGAATCATGTCCGGCGATTCATCAGCCCTGAACCCCACCTTGGAGGTATCCACAGGCAGTGGTGCCTCCAAGGTACCCACCGCCACCTCCGCCACCTGCCAAGCGGAAACTAGAAAGTCCATATACCAAAGCAAAATGGGTGTGCGTGTGTGCGTGTGTGCGTGTGTGCTTTTGTTTGAAGTGCTTTTGCGGGGTAAATATAGGTATGAGCCAACCGCAGCTCCCCCATGTTCCATCACTTGCATATCACTCCTGTCTGATGAGTCGCATTGGCAAATCCAAAGAAAATGTTTCTTGAAAGATGTCTTGTCCCACATTGCATATCATTCCTGCTGTGTCCTGTTCTATCTGCACATGTTCATCAACTCCATTCCATTTCAACATGTAATTATGTTATTCAAAACCCTAATTGGGAAAGAATCTTTGAAAAATCTAACATAAATTGGAATTACCAGTCGAGCCTGGACAAGGCGGGGGTCGGAAGTTTCAACAGGGGAATGGGCCTATAAGAAAGTTGCGCTCAGACATGCGCATTCAACCAACAAAAATCATGGTTGACCAGCCGAACGTGCGCAGAGGGTTCACCTGGCAACAAAAACGGCAAAAACGATGAGTGTTTCTAGGTAGACCAACCTGAATTGAAGTACGCAAAGGGGTTTGCTTTTTTGAGGCTGTCAATGCGGCCGACTTCGGGCAGACTCTGAGCAGACCCCGAGCGCAGCCGCTTTTGAGGTTCCCTTGCCACCGCAGCTCAGCCGAAAGTGCGCAGAAGGTTCACATTGCGAAGAGTCGGCAACTTGAATCCAGCCGAAAGTGCGCAGAGGGTTCGCTTTCTTAAGATCACAATTTAAAGTGCTCAGAGGGTTCGCCAACGTGAAAAACGCAAAAGATGACGAGCTATTAAGCTAGACCCACCGAAAGTGCGCAAGGGAGCGCACGTTAGCGGTATTCTGAATGGTTTACGGCGAGCTCACCTGGAGAATCATCGACCTCACCATGATTGAGGTCCTTTACTCTGGGAACCTTTTTTGGTTGTTTGGTTTGTTGTCTTTGGTTTTTTGGTTTGTCAGTGTCTTGGCCCAGTCGTCTGTGGGATCATGTGCAGCAGGTTGCATCAACAGGGGGTTGCTATACTTTCAAGACTTTTGATTCTTCGTCCGGCACAAACATGTGTGTGTGTGTGTGTTTTTTCTTATGTTGTCCTAACTTGTTTTGGGTTAACTAGGATGTCATGGTGCCAAGTGCTGTTAACTCCCGCTGCCTGCACTGTACTCGGACCAGTCTGAACTTGTTGCTCGGGGCCATTTTGGCTCAAGTCAATGACTTGATCGTGGTCCAAGCCTCGGATCTTCCTGGTTGTTTTCCCCACCCTCCACTCCCTATGGCCTTCGACCTGAAACAGCCTGCAGAGGAGATCAAAGATGGGGACACATTGGCGAGACCCCCATCTCCCTGTCCCAAGGCGTATGCGGACTGGGTAGAGAAGATTGACGAGCATGCGAGACAACGCTCATGGCCCAGATAGCAAGTGCAGGCTTTGTCACCCACCTGGACTGGTGCGGGCGATGGACTGAGGCGGAGGTCCGCGCCAAGGCCCCGGGTGATTTGGGCTTCGCGGACAAGGCCAACGGCTACACCCTAGCCACATCGGTCCTGGCGGTATTCAGACTGGAACTCGCTCGACGCCTTCAGGAGCCTGAAGAAAAGGAAGTTGAGCGAGCTGGAAATATCCACGGTCATTGACCACAGGGCCATGTTGGGGAGAGGGGACCGCAATGAGATGCGGGCAGTGGTGGCCCTGCACCCTAAGACGGGCGAGATGAAGTACCAAAAGAGGCAGTCTAAGGAGGACACGGAGTGGATCATAGAGGAATCCTATGGGGCCTCATCGGAAAAACAGTGGAAGCGCATGATTATTATCTGGCGCACCTTTTTTCTGATGGTGGTGGCATCGATCTCCTCACCATCCACCATCACACTCTCCAAGGAGGAGTTGGATGAGTTCTATGACTTCATGATGGGGGAAGATGTGATGGGCAGGGACCCACCCACGTGGCGCTGAAGCTTATGGATGACACTCTGTCCATCTCCAAAGGCACTCTCCCAGATCAAGGAAGACGTCCGCTTCTGGGTGAGGGAAGTAGACGAGTTCTGCCGCAGGCCTGGTGGACTCGGCGAAAGGCCAAGGGAACTTCGGCTGGTCAGCACCCTCCGGAGGAACCAAAGGCAAAGGCTTGGAGGCCCATGGTTCCCCGGGCCACGGAAAGGGGAAGAGTTCGGAGAGGCCTCCGCTGCCGGAGTGGGCAGACGTTTCCTTGGCGGGGACCCAGTTTTGCAAGAAATGCCACGCCTTTAAATAAGTGCCCAGGGAACTGTGAGAGATGGTTCTTCTGCCGTCGGGCAAGGCGTGTGAAAAGAACCACCGGGCGGTGGATCACGAGTGACTTCCCAACCCCTCCCTGGAGCTGGGAGTCTGGGGGAGAGGGGCTGGTGTTGCTCCCAATTTTCAGCAAGCTGCATCAGGCAACGGGAAAGAGACGGTTGCGGTCAGCGCTGTATCTCCACCCGGTGTGAACAGTGGAAGACCGACTGGGGACACACAGTCGGCTTTCAGCTGGTCTCCTTTTGGCGGGCAAGGTGCCACAGAGGACGGGGACGGCTGCCTCGAGCGCTGTATCTCAGCGAGATACAGCCCCTGGGCACCGAAGCGGTTGGTGGAAGAATCCAACGGGAACTCGCGGGCATCACGACCTTCCACGCAGGGATGGGACACTGAGGACGTGAAGGCGCCCCGGACGGCTGCTTTTAGCGCTGTATCCATGGTGCCTGGGAAGGACCCTCCCAGCTCAGCGGCTGGGTTCACGGAGTACCTCTCAAGGTACTTCAAAAACTCCTGTAGGACGGAGTGCCCTGACCTGGCAGGACATTTCACATGCACCCCCTAGGTTTTCGTGGTCTTCCTCCAAGACTCCTACGGCTTCTACCAAGCCGCCCGGTTCACCCTCAAGGTGCTACTAATCCTCTATGCTGGTGAGGATGACAGTAGCACCAAGGCGGCAATCCTTCGAGTAGCTCCACACCTTACCTTGAGGGGTACATTCTGGAATTACCACGATGTCCTCCGAGACGAAGTCTTTGGACCCATGGTGGAGATGGCGATGGAGGGCAACCTCATGGCAATAGTGGGAGGTACATGGTCAAGTCAACCCTACGACATGGGCCCAAGAAAGGAATGCCAGGAGTGACTAGCCTGACCAGGAGGACGTGGACAATGACTCCCTACTACTCTCCTCCTTTACCACGTCTCAATCCTGGTGGGTCACCCCACCTCCGGCCTTCCTGATGGAACATCCAGAAGACCCGGCGAACTATGGAACTTCGGAAATCCACCAACACTGCAGCTCATGGTGGGCAACATCCCGGTGTAAAGCCTTGTGCAGGATGTGGATACAAGCGTTCGACCAGTGCATGTTGGGTCATCCATCCAACAAACCCACTGAGGTGATACCTGGCAGTGGCTTGGGACGGACTTCGTTGTGCTGTGCTCACCCCAAACACTTACAATGGCTCTCTAGTAAGGCCTTGGCGAGGTGGGGATGGCAGATGAACATGGAAATTGCGTCAGCGATCCTCTTGTACTTTGGGTCCCAGCGCAACACCCAACCAGACAGACAGGTGGCATCCTCCCTAGGCGGAGGGGGTAACTCTGGGACACCGCTCTAGACCACTCAGAGACGGGGGGCAAACCCTCACTGGGCCGAGTCCTTCCACATCAACGAGGACCTCGGCGACTGGCTTGGTTAGGGCAGTGGCTAAGCAAACTTTTCCTGAAAAAAGCCGTCTCCGACCAGCGCTGAAGTTCCCTCAATGGAGATTGGCAAGACCCCCATGGTCCTTCTGCCGGATAGTCTGGCAACGCAAGACAGGAGAGGACCCTGGTCTCAGGAATGGACGGTGGACCCCTTTGCACCACCTGGGCAGCCTTTCCACTTGGACATTTTCAGAGCACCAGCGGAGATGGTCAACGACCCGCACTTGGCGGAAGGAGACCAGTGCAGGTCGACACACCGGTCTTGGAGGACCCTCAGATATGGCCCTCCAAAGCTGAGTTGGGACAAACGCCAACGGAACTGGAACCCCTGGCTCCTACTACCGCCGAGAATTACTCGAGTGCAGAGCAGTTTGCGGATGAAATCGAACGCACGTTCCAAGAAGAACGAGACAAGGCATGGGCATGGTGTTGGGCCCCTTCTTCAAGGAGGAGGCCGCCAAAGTTTGCGAGTGTAGACTTGTGTGGGGGCCATGGCCGCAATCCAGGAGGCAGACAAGGTCCGTACGATCTTCGATGCGACCATCATTGGAGTGAATGATAACATCCGCTCCCACTCCGTGTTGCTACCCCCCTCCCCCTTCCCACCCTGCCAAGCCTAATTCTCAAAGCAACTCTAAATAACTGTCCCTAAACACACCCTAAATCGAACAGCCCTAAACCAACCCTAAACCAGCCCTAAACCAACCCTAAACCAACCTTAAACAACCCTACATTGAACCATAAAACAACCCTAAAATGAACCAGACTATCGGCTGCGTGGTGAGTCTATCCTTTGGTCCTTTCTTTATCCTGTGTATTGTCATTGCACTTAACATTATATTACGAGGCGACATAAGGGATATGATTCTCTAAAATTAGAATTACAATGATACAATGCTGGGATTATTACTGGTTCATGTGCCTTTTTTCCGCTCACAGAGTTTACATGAGATAGAAACGAGAGGTCCATAACTTGATCTGATTGTGGAATCGTGTGTATCTGGATTGCATGTGATGGAAGGTGTATCAGAGAGTTAGTCATCAGTCTCATATATATATATATATGTTCAATTACTATGTTGTCGTGTTTGTAACTGCAATCGCACGGGCAGCTGCCCCGCCTGAGATCGGTTCACCTCGTCGGCCAAGTAGGCCACGTAGTGCGTCACCAAAGTGACCTGGCCAAGTCGTCAGCTGGTCAAAGGGGCGGCGCTAGGGTGTAAACGAAATGTGCCAGCACTCCCTCTCAGCATGGTAAACTGACACCTTTTGGGCTCCAAATGGAAGATCCAGCTGCAACTTGTGAAAGTAAGAAAACCGTAAGGTTGCAGCTTCCTTGCTGCCGATTTTCCACCACCCTTATTGAGAAGTCCCTAAAGAATCAAATCCTTTCGTAAGCCAGCTGCAGAATGGCTTTTGAACTGCCCAGTGCTTCCTTCTGGATTAAAATTCGTTGTTTCTGTGTTTTTGTTGGCTTCTTGGCTTGGCCGTTCTTTACTTGTCGGTGGAGTCGTTTCTGCCGATGCGAATGGTGCCTGCGCCGATTGTTGCTTAGGTGTCCCTGATCCACCCGCTCCACAAAATTCCGTAGAGCCTCTTTACAGGAGTCCCCTTTTTGGATTCTGCCTAAAACAGGGAGCCTCTTTCGGACGGCTTTGCTTTGGAATCCAAAAGGCAATGACCAACGTTCTAGAGAACACCGGCCCAAAGCCACAGCCTCAGCACAAACTGCTTGTGAGTCCCAATGGCTCCAGTGGATGGAGGGCGTGTGGAGTTGTCGATGTCCCCCGAATCACAAAGAACGTCAAAATCAAAGAGACACCTTTCTAGGAGCTTGACTAAAGTGAAGGTAGGAAGCCAAAGGGTTGGAAGGTCGGTTTGCAATGGACAACTCTGAACCGCTGAATTGAAAGACATACTAACATAGGATGATGGCAACAAGGAGCTGAAACCCACTCAACTGCTGTGTGTTGCGCTTCTAACTGACTTAGGGTAAGCCCCCAGCCTAGGGAAATCCAACTTCCCGTAGTGTTCATGTATTGAAATACAGGAGTATTTATCCTGTGGCTAATTCATGATGCGTCCCATGTTTGAACAGGGGGTGTCTCGTAAAACTAGCAACATCCTCAAAACTACGATTTAAAGGAAAACCATCTCCGAAAGGGAACTTTTGAGAACTCAAAATGTTCTTTTCAAGGACCCCAGTATCAGCAGCCCCTGTGTTTGGCCCCTACCCCCTGTTTCTTTGGAAGCCATGGAAAAGCTACAAGCCGAAAGCCGCGAGCCAGCGCCGCGTCCGCCGGCACAGTCCAGCTGAGCAGCCCGCCGAGATCGCCCTCCGCTCAAGTGGGGACTTTTTGCAGCCCGAATCAAAGACTTGCCAACGGATGGCAAAAAAGCCCCTGGGTCGGGAATTCCCTTTCGAAGAGCCCTCCAACCTATCGAAATAGACCCCTGACGTAAGCCGGACGCCCCAAAAAGGGGTCGGAAGCTTCTTGGACCCTGTGGATGTGTGATTGATCTTCACGTGCAATTCAGGAGGGGGCACTTTGGGTTGTGGGAATGGAATCCCAACCTCGTGATGGTCATATGTACCAAAGGATCCAAAACCCAAGATACAGCTGAGGTTTGCATTAGCACTTCAGCATCAAGAGGAAGCCAAGGGATTGCCGGTTTGTTTGTCTTCTATATATTATGGTGTCTCAAATTATACTGATAATTACTCAAATGTGGACTGAACAACAAATGTGTGCACTCCGGTCTCTCTAGCTTAATGCAAAAGGCTAAAGCTTCGGGGGGAAAACCAGCTCATTTTGAGGCACTGTCGCTTTCCTACTGTCCCGAGCCGTATTGCCGGCTTTGCGTGGACCATGAAATTAAGACTCAAGTTGAACAATCTGAAGAACTTACTTCGACCCTGGCTATGCCTACTGATGACCAACCAAATCGCGGGTTGGGGGCTGATATCGCAAACCCGGATCTGGCAACTCCCCATGCAAGAAACCTTTATGGGTCCGGGCGCATACAGGAACGCGCTTAGGTCGCGATTTCGTTTGCCCAGAGTACGCTGTGTCATCTGAAAGTGTGATTCCACCATGTTTGCTGCTTATCACGACCTTAAGAGGATGTTGAATTGAAAAACATGACCCTTCAACCGTCGCTTCAGCTTTCGGCTTCCGGGCGCCTCGTCGATATCAAAGTCTGTGAAAGCCACAGAGGGCACCAAAGCCCAGTTGTCGACCAGGGCCTGCCGTGGCCGTCCGACAGCTTGCGGACTCGCCCCCAAAAAACAAAATGTTGGAAGAAAAGGGAAATCCTTGAAAAGGGAAGCCATGTGCCGTTTTCAGTATCGAATCGAAAACTGGCCACCTCAGCACCAGCTGTGCCGTCAGGTGAGAGGATGGTCGGAACCCAGAATGGATACTTGGTGGAGAAAAAGCGAGGGGTTGGTGTCCAGTTCCGAGCTTGTTTCTTTCATTTGGGGTGGGGGGGGGGGTTGCGGCCAAACCATAACTGCACTCCAACCTGCGTGCGGTTGACCCTAAAGCACATCCGCACCTGCGGGGGAACAACACTTAAGATTGCTCAGGACTTCCGCGTTCCATACCCGAAAGTTTTAAAGCGCTCTACCGCTTTGGGGTTGAGAACTTTGAGAGACCAAGATTTGCTGGGAAGTGTGTTGAGCACTTGTTATAAGCAGCTCAAAGCGTTCATCCTTCCAAAATGAGTTGAACCTCGGACCTAAACTGCTGACAAATGTTGTGCGAGCACCAAGAGTTGCAGGGTACCACACTGTGCTTTAAAGTATTGACAGGCGTATGCAGGAATCGTCAACTTCAAGACTTCTCTGAAAGAGATACTCACACACGTCGCAAAAAAATCTGTCCGGACTGCATACAGTTGTGTCCCAAGAAACTCCGGATGCTGATCAATAGCATTTCTGAGTATCACTTGCTTTACTGTACAAGCTGTTGCAATGCTGCTGCTTTGGCAATGTTGCAATGTTGCAGAATTCAGTAGATGTGCATCGACCTTACCCTGGTGCAGACTACCATGTTTAAGGGCTTTGCACCGCTCGCCCCCACCATCTGGCATCTTGGATGTCAAAGTGAGGAGTCCTGGGGTGGGGGGATCTGGAGGGGGTAGCGGTGTATGCGTATAAATATATATATATATATATGTAGATATATATATATATACACCATATATACATGCACGTATTATAACCTAGGATGATGATTCTAAACTTGCTGTGGGTTGGAGATGCCTCAACAAGTCCCAATTCTTCAATTACCCAAAAACAAGCCCCAAATCGAGCCCAGATTCTTTCCTGAAGCGCTTCGCCCCTCTCAAGGCGCCTGGGACGCCGGGGTCGTCTGCTCAACTAGACTGGACCGGGTGTACACGAGCACCCAGGAAGCACCACCCTAGCCGCAGAGACCAGCCCAAGGACGTGGCTAGATGGGCAATCAGTGAACGGTTGCCTTTCGCTTTTATCGCATAGTTGGTGTTTCCGCATTTGAGGAAACGCCCTTGCTTGGCCGCCAGCTGGTAAGGGACATTTGTGGACCCTTGGTTGATATGGCAAGTTGCAGAATCCCACGCTAGTCTGAAGTATTTCTGAGATACAGCAGCGTTTGTATGGTGACCTTTGGGCCTTTGTTTGCTTAAACCCATCCGAATAGAGAGTTGCCCTTGAGACAGCACCAACCGGGAGTAGACAACAGGCGCCCTTCTTTGAAGGCTGACGAGACTAAAGGATCGAGTTCGGAAAGTTGGCTTTGGGTCACTGATTCCTGCGGATGCAGATTTGAGCACACTGGGTTTCTCTTTTCCAATGCAAATAGCCTCCCACAAACTACCCGGAAGTGCAAAGGGGCCTTTTCCAAGACCTCTGCACTTCCATGTTTGTTGGCGAGTTCCACACCTGAGAAAAGGGCAAGGGGCCTTGGGCATTCGCGGGAAGCCCGCAACTGGGCATCGATTTTTCTTGCCCTCCCAAGGATCCAATAGGATTCTACGGGACTCAGCGCCGTCTGCTGTTCCAGCTGTACTTCCCCATTCTTCCCAGGAATCTAAAAAATCAGGGTGCCCCCGACGCTAAGGGGCAGCAGCCCCCGATTGCTCTCCCCCAGGTTTGCCAATTCAAGGTCAAACATTAGCGACCACCAAGAAATGTCTACGGGACGCCTTCGTCGATCCTTCCGTGTTTGTGTTTGTTGTGCCTGATACCGGGTTTGTTTGTGACTCAAGCGTGGGTTTTTGATTCAGTGCTCTTCATGGTGTGCTGAAGTGGCTGGCTCTGCGCCTTGTGGCACAAGGATGCGTGTTGGCTCTTGTGGAGCAAATTGAGTAAGTCCCCAATGTCCCTCCCAAATGGACTGTAGTCACTGGTAGGCCAAGCCTCATACTATGCAGCGTGACCCCAACTCTGTTTGATTCCCTCGAAAGGTCGGCTGGAACATTCGAAGGCTCGGACTCCTGGAACATGAATGCCGGTGCATGAATATATATATATATATATATATATATATGTTCCAGGCCGTGGACCCCCCCCCTCCCCCCCCCAACCCCCCCCCCCTGTCTGTGGGGGTAGGATGTGGGGTGGTGGGGTGGTGGGGTGGTTGGGTGGTTGGGTGGTTGGGGTGTGGTTTAGGCTTAGTGGGTTGGTTTAGGGTTGGTTCAGGGTTGGTTCAGGGTTGGTTTGCGGTGGGTTTCGGGTGGGTTTGGGGTTTGGGTTGATTTAGGCTTAGGGTTGGGGTTAAGGAGGGGTTGCAGGGTGGTTTGGTTTAGGGTAGGGTGTTGCGAGAGGTGCGGGGGTGTTGGTTCACGGGGTGAAAGGGGGAGTCTGGGACCGAAGCTGCAGGGCTCACACGGTACTGGACAGCATCCCCAGCATTGCCAGCATTATCCCCAAGATGCGGATGATGCGGGGGAGTGGGGGGACCATACCATTGGGGGGGGGGGGTACGTGGCCCAGGGACTGGTACATATATACATAGACATGTGTGTTCCCATCCTGTGTGGCTATCATCCCGGCTCTCCGCCTGGGGTGTGTCCGCACTGACGGAGCGCTGGGCTGTGAGCACTGGCACCGGGCTCTCCAACTGAGACCTGAAGCCGGACCTTAAGGCCTTAGCCTTAGCCTGAAGGGCCCTTCTTCAGATTTGCTTGGCCATGGAAAATGCGGACACGTTGGATGCAACCGAACAAATCAAAGGGCAAGTCCCGCTTTTCTGGCCCCCGGGATGCGAGGTCGATGTGCAACTGGGAAAAACATGTTGGAGTCTTGTACGGTACTGGAGACCCAGCCCCTGGTTCTGGTGAAAGTAAGCGCTTCATGTCTAGTGGGTTCTTGGTTCACCAATTTCGGTCTATTCATGTTAAACAGGAAACGGACCGCACAGGATGCGCGATGCGAGCGAACTGGATGCGCGATGCGAGCCCCGCAAAAGTGGCGTGGCTTCCCAGCTTAGGTACACCTAGGAAACCAGGACACGACGAGGGGCGCGGAGTAGTCGCTAAGTTAACTTTGCCTCCAATCCCCCCTTTCTATCGTTAACTCCAGCATCTAAGTAGGACCCTAAGGGTCCTCCTTGTGGGAAACTCAAAGGGCTGCCGGTTCTAAGGACCACGGGGTCTGTTACGGCTTGAGGGCTCTGGGGGTGTGTTCGAGTCAGTGAGAAGGCAAGATTCTGTGTCTGTGTCCAGACCGGACTGTTTGCGGTCCTGCTTCCTTGGAAACGCTGTTTAGGGTAGGCTTAGGATGGCTTAGGATTGGTTTTGTATGCTTTTGGGGTTGGGTTAGGGTGGGGTTTGGGCGGGTTTAGGGTGACGGGGGGTTAGGGTGGGTTTAGGGAAGGTTTAGGGTTGGTTTTGGTGAGGTTGTGGGTTCGATAGGCTTAGCGGGGGTGTGGGGATGTTAAGAATGTTTTTAGGGCATATCTGATTGGGTCCACTGCTCCAGATTTAGATCCAGGAACACAAAGAGTCCTCACCGGGGGCCCCATTGGTAGTTTCCTCTGAATATATTGGTTGTTTTCTTGCAGGGGTGTCGACATTTGAAGACAAAGGGGATGTTAAGAATGTTTTTAGGGCATATCTGATTGGGTCCACTGCTCCAGATTTAGATCCAGGAACACAAAGAGTCCTCACCGGGGGCCCCATTGATAGTTTCCTCTGAATATATTGGTTGTTTTCTTGCAGGGGTGTCGACATTTGAAGACAAAAACTATCGGTTACAGGAAACCGCAACCTTCTGCGTAAATCAAACTGAAAGGAGGAACCACCAAGAAAGAAACATTCATCATCGGCTCACAGGTGCGGCGCAAAATTCCCTTGGTAAGGTTGCCGTGTATTCTGCCCAAAGAAATACCTTCAACGCTACCCCCTGATCACACAATTCCCTTACTTTCAGGGGTCCCAGTGCTCTTGGAAGAAGAAACGTCCAACCGCTTAACAGCGACCCCCTGATACACATCAAGGGCTGGGGCCCGAGCTTGTTCTCGCCCATGCTGGAAAGGGCCAGGTAGACATCATAGAAGGCCACCTAGTGAGGTACGTGTGCCAAGGATTCGTTTCAAGACACCTGTCCTTGGTCAGATTCAGAGCAAGGCGAGCCATGGCAGAATAGCAGGCAGCCAAGCAAGCAAGCAAAGCAAAGCAAGCAAAGCAAAGCAAAGCAAAACTAACAAATCGGCAAACCGACCGACCGAAGCAAGCAAGCAAGCAGGCAAGCAGCAAGAAAGCAAGGAAACAAACAAACAAGCAAGCAAGCAAACAAACAAAAAAACAGTCCAAGCAAGCAAACAAACCAAGCAAGCAAGCAAACAAACAAATAACAAAACAAACGCACAAATACGACACACAACAATAACAAACAGACAGCCAAACAGACAGACAGACAGACAAACAAGCAAAACAAAAGATAACGATGCACACAAACAAACAAACAAACAAACAAACAAACAAACAAACAAACAAACAAACAAACAAACAACGCTCAGACGTCCTGTGAACGCGCGTTTTTTTTCGTTCTTTCCCCCCTGTAATGGCCGCAAAAACGCGCAAATCATATGGTTGTTCACAGGTTTCGAGCAAGTCCAGCGGCGTTGCGTTCTTACCATTTGGCTGGCATGGATTCCGTGCTGCGCGGGTGCACTTGAACGGGTGTTCTTACCATTTGGCTGGCATGGATTCCGTGCTGCGCGGGTGCACTTGAACGGGTGTTCTTACCATTTGGCTGGCATGGATGCAGTGCTGCGCGGGTGCACTTGAACGGGTGTTCTTACCATTTGGCTGGCATGGATGCAGTGCTGCGGGTGCACTTGAGCGGGCGTGCCTATCGTGAGTGTGAATTTCCATATAATTCCCGCGTTTTACGTGGTAGTGGCCGGACATGCACGAAACCTGTGAAAAAACCATATGATTTGCGCGTTTTTGCGGCCATTACAGGGGGGAAAGAACCAAAAAAAGCGCGCGTTTACAGGACGACCGAGCCACAAACAAACAAACAAACAACCAAAGAAAGAAAGAAAGAAAGAAAGAAAGAAAGAAAGAAAGAAAGAAAGAAACAAACAAACAAGCAAACAAACAAACAAACAAACAAACAAAACATACATACATACATACATACATACATACATACATACATACATACATACATACATACATACATACATACATACATACATACATACATTACATACATACATACATACATACATACATACATACATACATACATACATACAAACCATCACTGTAACCAACATGCGTCGCACCACAGCCTTTTTGAGGCTCAAACTCAAAACATTGATGGAGATTACAGCGTTGGTGAACAGCGGCACGCAATGCCTGCGTGGAGCGCTTACCTGGAGCGAGTGCTGCCAACAAACCCAACGCTGAGCAAAGCAGCACTCTAGCTCTTCCAGCGCTGTAATACAGGCTGAAATGGACTGCAAGTCAGTCGAGAGCTGGTGCCAGGGCGGCGAGAGCGCCAAAGGGTTTTGGTGAGTGGGTACCCACTCTTGGCCGCGCTCCGCGGCCGGCCGCGCTCCGTGTTAGGGCGATGCCATCGACAACGACAAGCATGACAGCACAGCTTCGCAAACTGGAGGCCTGCGAGCAGAGACAAGTGGCTGATATCAACGACTGACGAAGCTGAGCGAACAAGGGGCCTCCAAGCTGCTTGGTTGGCGATGAACCACAGATTGTCGCGATTGAGCAGCAAATGGGGGCAGGAGAACGCGAGCAGCGGTCTCTGGCAAATTGATGTAGAATGTAGGAGCGTCGGGGCGCCCACTTTGCTACCACATTTTCAGGAACGGCAACTGACGACACAAAAACTTGAGAATCCCAGTAGACCCAAATACCAAGACGAAAACGGCTACCTGCAAGTGCAGAAGTGGAGGCGTCCGTGCACACAACCACAGGGCGAATTGGCCCTGGGAAGAGCGGCACACGCCGGGACAGACAACGCTAGTTGAAGGTACCTGATAGCTGAAGGTACCTGATGCACAGTTCAAGAGACGGTGTCAAATCGCCCGTGGACTCGAAATATTGCCGCGCAATAAGCCCCGAAAAGGCGGCTGCGAGAGGGCGTAAAAAGGTCATCTCCAACCAGTTTAACAATCCACGGGCCTTGGCGGCTTGACCGGAGGTCACTTTGCGGACGCGGAGAAAAGATGCCAACATTTCGGCTGCACGCGCTCGCGATGTCCGGACATGCGCGGAGCGTGATTTCGTGACTTTCGGCCACCTCAGACATGTCCGTGACCAAGCCTAAGAACCGGGGCACAGCTCATGCGCTGCCATTTGTTCTGCCGAATAATGACACCCAACGCCTCCATCATTCGAATGAACTCATTTTTACTGCAAGCGAGGCGTACTCAAATTGGATTGAGTCATCAAAGTAACTAATGCCAACAAAACCATGAGAAAAACGCGCCTAGCCACAGCAGTGAAAACCTGTGGGGCCCTGTTAGATTGACAGAGGATGCCACGACGAGAGGCATGCCTCGCATGTGGGGTGTAGAAAAGTAACGATGTTCACACACATGTGAGCCTGAATAGGGTGGTTCTGGCGATATCCTTTCCAAAAGCTCTTCAGTGCCAGCCACGATCTGCAACCAAGGCATTTCAAAGCCACCCGCCAACCCCATACAGCCCGTCAAAGAACTCACGACTCTGAAGCGGCCCCAAAAGACCCAACTCTTGTTCCTTCAAGCCTTCTTCTAAAATCACTGTGGAAGATGGGTGAACACAAAGATCAAACTCAAGTTTTGTCGACAAAGAGTCCTGCATCGCGTCCCAGCAACGGAACAGTTGGGGCAGGGTCAGGCTCAACGGGCCTAAAAATGCCAGATGCGGGGATGGGCCATGAGATCTGGTCGGAAACCTGGCACGTGATTAACATGTCTTTGTTTTAACAAACACGTATTCAGTGGTAACAAGGACTGAGCAAGTTTCCGAAAAGCGTGGAAGCTAACATCCCTTATATTTTGAATGCCCAGCCCGTGGCGCACTGCCTTGCGCACTGCGAACTGCAAATCTTTCTCAAGAGAAGCGTTCTGTGCAAATGGGCTGGCCAACTCAAAGGCGGCTTGGAGGTGCTGCCTTGCTGACAGGGCAATGCTAGTCATTGGCTCAACTGCAGAAGCACGCGGTTGTTTTAAATAACGGGCCGGATCTACCTTGCGCAGCACCTCCAAATCCAAACCATCAGGGAGCGTACTGCTAAAAGGGGTCCAAGAGAATCCCACACAGCTTCAAGGATGTGTTGGGGCACTTGCTTCAGCGGCAGCAGAGACAAAGTACCTTTGAACCAAGATTCCTTGGAAGCGAGGGTGGCCGCAGCTGCAGCCTCAGACACAAAGGGCTGACGTTGAAGCTGCTCAGGAGAAAGGAAGCTGCTAGCAGAGGGCGCCGAAGGCGTGAACTCAGACGCAGCACGCTGTGGGGGCATCACGCATGATTTGGACCGAGCTTCTGGAAAAACTTGGGCGCCGTGTGAGGAAGCCAGAAAAGGCAAGGCCTCAGAGACAGCCCCAGCAACAGCACCCGCAAAACCATCTGGCGATGGGTGACATGCAGCGAGAAGAGGCGACTGGAGGCAACAGGTTGCTGCATGATCATGAGGTTCAGTGAAGGCGTGTGCACCCAGGCCTGCCAGTCCGAAACACATCGCACAAACAACAAGCCTCCAAGCAGAACCCGAAAATCGTAAGACCAAACGCTGGGCCGCTGGGTTCTACGTCTGGTCTCCATGCTGAAGAGGCCTATGGTGCAAACTGACCCTGTGATGACCCTTTCGACTCCCTTTCAGCAACTGGAATACCTGAAAGAGTGATCTGTCTAAGAAATTGTTGGGCGGCCTCTTCCATCTGGTTTGTTGCTGGTGCTCAGTATGAGGAGGTAAGTGCAGCAGCACGGGGGGCAATGAATGGCACACATGTCCAAACCTAGACGAAATTGCTGGCGATTGGGAGGTGTGCAACTTTCTGCCTGTGAATCTCCTCCGACATGATAAAGTAGTCGTAGGCTTGCCGGAATATACCAAAAGAAAACATTGATATCGGGATGCATCCCCGGCTGCCGGGCAATGCCCAAATGATGGCTTAAGCATGCTTAGACGGGTTGAGACTCACACCCTGCCCCTTCCCCGATGAGGCAACTGAGCCTGAAAGAAAGCCGACGCAGTGACTCGGGAAACCAAGAGATTGTCCAAGACAAGGGCCATTCCCCCAGCTGTCCTTCTGGAAAAATCGCACTGGAGCGATCAGAACTTTAAAAGCAAGAAACAAATGGAATCCATCTAAGACTGTATGTTCAACAAGACTGATCGAAAGGTGTCCATCCAGCAAAATCCATTTCGCATCAGTTGGTTTGTCCCAGTATTCATGGGTTCATTCATCCTCGGTGCAGAATAACACCCCCCCCCTGTGCCTGGGAGGGGTCGAAGGGCTCGTTCCAGGTTACCGTGCCGCCCACCCTGGGCGATGAAATAGCTCCGGCCGCGCTTGCGCCACTTTGGCTGGGCCCTTCTAAAACTAGTTGACTTTGGGGGGCGTACACACATGTGTATATATATATATATATGTATACACTTTTCTGTTCCAGGCCGTGAACCCCCCCCCCCCCACCCCCCAACCCCATTCTGACAGGGGGGGGGGAGGTTGGGTGGTTGAGGGTTGGTTAAGGTTGGTCTTGGGTTGGTTTAGGGTTGGGTTAAGGATTAGGGTTGTAGGCTTGGTTTCGGGATTTGGTTTAGGGTTGGTTGTGGGTCTACGTGTCGGAATGCAAGGGTGCGAGTCAGGGGCTCGAGGAGGGGTTCTGGGGACCGTAGGTTGGGCCTGGGGTGACCCTACCCTTGGGAGGGGGGGGGGGTGGGGGGGAGGCGGATATAGACGCTCACCCCCCCCCCCTGGACCCACTTTGAAGAGGCCTTTCACTCATATTGGCCAACTATGTTCTTAAGAAACGAAATACATTCCCATTCAAAATATAGTTCAAAATAACCATTTGATTGGACTAATTGGAAGAAACAACCAGCTGGTCTTTCCCCATCAGGTTCCATTTGATTTATGAGTAAATTCCACTTAGAATCCTACTTGGAGAGGAATTCCTATTGAAAATCTCATTCAAGCAAAATGTCCACTCACTCTTTGTAAGGACCAAACGAATGAGAAGAAACGACCAGCGTGGCTTTCCTTATTGGACTCCATTTAGATTCCAAAAAGAAAAAGTTTGTAAAACAAAGAACGTCCTGTTTAACTTCTAATTCAAAAAACGAATTCTAGTTAAACTATTCTCGAAGGAAACCACGGCTTGTCTTTCCTCCCAGGTTTTTCTGCTAATTCCACTAAAATCCTACGTGGAAAGGAATTCGTGCTTGATGTGTAATCTAAATCAAAATTATGTTCAAAGCAGTTGAAAGAAACAACCAGCGTGTCTTTTCTCACTAGGTTATCCTCACGGGTTTCTATGCCAATTCCAGTAAATTCCTACATGGAAAGGAATTCGTGTCTAAGCTGTAATCCAAATCAGACTTATCTGCAAATCAGTTTTAAAAAAAGAAGAAGAAAAAAAACACCGGCATGTCTTTCTTCACCAGGTTCTGTTTGTATCATTAAAAAAAACAAACTTCCAACCAAATTCCTGCTTGGAAAGGAACGCCCATTTAGACCCTAGTACATAATTTGTGTCTATATATATATCTCTACATATGTATGGTGTCCCCCCCCCCAGAAGCCCCCATTCAGCCAACATATGTTTTCTTTTAAAAGACAGGGGAACAAGCCAACACATAGAAGAAACAGCAGAGTCTTCTAGGAAACAGCCCCAAACCAGAAAAAGAACAGAAGAAAAAGAAACCAGAGTACCAGCAAAACAAGCAAACAAACAGGAACAAATCGCAAGACCAGAAAAACAAAAAAACTAGGGAAGGGTAGCTCCCTCCAGCATTTGTCTCATGGAGAAAATGGTTTGGGGGGGTAGAAACTGAAGGAACCGGAACACATATATGTTCCAAGCCCCCTCCCCACCCAGGGCGCCGGCTCTGAGGGATCCAGGTCCAGATCCGTGAAGGCCACCGAGTCCGCATTGGCCTCTTGCAGCGCGCAGCACGCCCAGCGGGTTGATTTACATGTTGGTCTTGGGCGTGTCTCATTTGTTCTGCTTTTGTGTTTCAAAAAGGGAAGCCCTAAGCATGTTGTTTGGATTATGCCTCACAATTGACGCACCTAAGGATCGAACCCCCGAACCCCAAGGCATCGTTCAATACCTGCACAAACTGGGTGCTGTGATACGGGCCTTCAATGTTGCCGGAGAGGTATCACAAAAGTGGGAACCCAGGCCCTGGTAGGACCTGCTTGAAAGCAGAGATGATTTGGTGGTCCCCTGTTGATGTCTCTCCCCAAAAGTGTAGAATTCTCACCAAAACGTGGGGTGTGAGTGAACCATAATTTTGCGCCTCCACGTCAAAGATGCCAATGGCCGCATTGCCTGTCTGCTCCACCAACGAGGACTGGGTGTACACCAGCAGAAAAGAGTTCCTCGATTCGGACATGAAAGAGTCGGGGTGGGGCCCGGGGGCGGAACAGTGCATAGCGACACAGGTGACGGACCCTTAAATGGAGTTTCGCTCAAAGCATGGTCTTCAAAAAGGACTGGGGCTCGAAGACTTTAGACAGGTTCGATCGATTCCTTCCGCAAGAAGGTCACACGGGCTGTTTTGTGGGTGACCATGGCCCTCTGTGGTCCCAGATGAGTTGCCCCGCTTGGCAAAACGAAGCTTCAGCTTCGGGATTCGAACCTTGGCACATACCTCTCTGTGCCTCTCTCTCTCCCCCCTGCACTTTCTATCTTTGGGGAATCATCTGAACATCTTGGATCTTGGATTCAGGGATCAAATTTCCTAGGTTTGTCAAGGGCTCTGGGAATGGTGGAGACGTAGGGTCTGGATCCAGGACATCTCAGGAAGCGTGCACAAAATACATCATTTTGGTGTTGGCCACTTGCAGCCACTTGCAGCCACTTGCAGCCACTTGCAGCCACTTGCAGCCACTTGCAGCCACTTGCAGCCACTCGAGTGGCTGCAAGTGACTGCAAGTGACTGCACACGCCTGCAAGTGGCCGCATCGCTCGCAACAACACTGTCGAAGCAGCAGCAACACAGGTTGATACGCAGCCACTCGTTTCGGCAAATGAGACAAGCGCACGGCACGAGTTTTCAGCACAAAATCTGAAATAGTTTTGGTGCTGAAAACAGGGCTCAGCAGCACCCCACAGCATCAGCAGCATCACCAGCTTCATCCTCAGCAGGGGGAGGGGGGGGCGGGCAGCTTGGGCTCAATCAAAGTTGGACCTTGGATTGCAAAAGGCACCAGCCAAAACTGGTTGAACATATAGCCAAGGCACATCTCTGGACTATAATTTGCCGTGGCGTCAACCATTTGATAGGCCACATGGTTGACGCAGTTACTTGGTGCACCGGTATCTACCGCAAGCAAGGATAACGGCGCAGTCCACAAAATGCTGCTTGACTAAAAACTCAAAATATGCTTGTCCACTAAAGCTTGTTGTGGGTACCATTTTTGTCAAATATGTGGCGAGCAACATTTTGAGTCCACAGACATGCTTAGCCCAGAAGTTTCTTAACTGCATTTCTTCAAAATTGGTTCACCCATAAACATGTGTGGCCCCCACACATTCCATCACCAAATGTTTGTCCTGTCGTTTGGTTTTCCTCAAACTTGGTGTCTTACACCGTCCAGAGCAAAGTGTTGGACAACCGACAGTTGCGAAATTCCTTGTTTCATACTTTTCAAGTTTTTTCGCTGGGCCGTCCGCATTTTGTCATGGTGATGTGTGCGTTGTCTCTTGGGCATCCCGACATTTGCTTAATTTTTTCAGTCCTCGGAATTACTTCTTGCTGGGGGCCTTTCAAGATGCGATTTGACAGTTTGTCAGTTTTAACGTTTTTGGTATTGGGCAACTTGTAGTTCAAGCCACTGTCATGAGGGAAATAAGAATGTAGGAGCCCCGTGGGGAATTGATATCGGCCGACATTGTTCGGCGTGTCGGATACCCAAGAGAGGATACAGGATAACCCCCCCCCTAACCCCCCCCCCCCCCCCCACGTACCGCGCGGCAATTTGGTGACGGTCTGATAAAAATAGTCTTCGGGGAGCGGGTCTGGAGAAACAGGCTCTCTGCCGGCTCGGGTTTTGTGCTTCCTTTTGCTGAAAATTTTGAAAAACTCAGTGTTGTTTTGACATCCTTTTTGCGAAAACGTTGACAACTACCGTGTTGTTCGAGTATTTGGAGAGAAATGCATGAAAATAACGGGGAATGAAGGGGAAATGCAAGGGAAGGGAACGTGAAGGGCACATGAAGGAAAATCCAGGAAAATGCCATGACATGCAGGGGACAGGAAGCGGAAATGACAGGAAATCAAGGGAAATGAAATGGAGACGAAGGGGAGCTCAACGAGACATGAAGGGGAAAGGAATGAGAAATGCAGAGGGAATGAAAAGGCATGCAGGGGGAATGAAGGGGAAACGAAGGGAAATGACAGACAGTGACGAGGAAATCAACGGACATGAAGGGAGATGTAGGCACATGACTAGCAATGAGTGGGACATAAGTGGAAAATGAAGCAGACATACTGAGAAAATGAAAGGGAAATAAAGGTGGGAAAGGGACATAATGCGGAAATTCTAGGAAATGACGGGACATGAAAAGGAAATGAAGGCGAAGTGAAGGGGCAATCAAGGGGGCAGAGACAGAGAGAGCGGTAGAGAGAGGAAGGGAGGAGAAAAGGGAGGACAATGTCGGCGGACTGAGCCGGAGGCTCTAAAGCTTATAGACAGACATGTCCACACACATTTACGCCAGCACGCGTAAGCCAACGTGTTGTCATACACACACATACCAATATGTCCGCCGACAACAGGCAAAGTTGCGTAAAAACATTGGGGTGTTCGATTCCACCCGGGTCCGTTTTTGCATCCACAGCACCTCCTGGGCAACATCGCCAGCATCACCTGCATCATCCGCATCAGCGCCTGCCAAGGATGCAGATGATGCAAGTGATGCTGGGGATGTTGCCCATGCTTGTGAAGGATCACCTGGAAACGAAGGAAAATGTATGGAAATGAATGACATGAAGTGAAATGAAAGAAAGGGAACAAAACAGGCATAACGGGACGAAAGATCTTCGGGTCTTCTTCATGGGGCGCATCTGATCTTGACGGATGCGGACTTGGAGGAATGGATTCCGTTGGAAGGTCATAGTCCGGTTCTTCTTGGCGAGGCTCACTCTGCTGCTCGTAGTACAGGGGTCGTCCAAAAGATTGGAGATCGACTTGTCGTGTATGACCGCTGTTGCATCTCAAATGGAACTCCATGTTGGGATCATTGAGGAATTCCTTGCCATTAGGCCGGAGTGCATCGTATGCGGGTCTCGTAGTGAGTTTGTCGATCCATCGGTTTCTTGGAACAATTTCTCCCCTGGCCTTTCGCTCATTGTATGGCCCGTCCACGGATGGATACACGAACGCAATCTCGAAACGTGACTTTCCATAGTTCGGGAACATAGCCATCAAGAGAAGTCCTGGCTTATTTCCAATGAAGTTCCTGGCATGTGTAACGCAGGACAATGCATCGTATAGCTCAACGGATCCATCAGGACCCATGTCCACTTGTCGTTTGCATTCCTTATGGATGCCATGCTTTGGATCATGTTGAAGACATCCGGAAAACAATCTGCTCATTCTCTCAATTCGCCAGAGGATGAGGTCGGTGATCTGTTTTGCCTTGGATGGATCCATGTGGAAGTACTTGCAAACCTGTTCAACATTCTGGACGGTCTTCTCGAGACCAATGAAGTTGTTGTGACATACCATCGGGATGATGTCGGCTCCGTAAACTTCTGGCTCAGCATTGGTGTAGCAGCAAATGACATAGACCTTCTTGATGAAGTCCATGTATTGTTTCTCTGCGTGATTGCCATCACCCTGAAGCGTTGGCCGCCAACAGTCGTTGAATCTGGCCTTCAGCCAGAATACCTTGCCTCCATGCGGTCGTTCATGCTCAGGAATGAAATGGAAGTCCGGATTCAAGTCGAGGATGGTTGAGCACTCCAGGTAATATTCGTGCACGAATTTGAGGAATTTAGAATTCCCGAAAGGTCCTGGGTGTACGGATTCCCTCTGGAACCGGATGTCGGTATCTGATCCATCTGGCACATGCCACCGGTCGTTGGATGTGAGAGTTGGCCGCATCGCTGGTCGCCTTGGAAGTGCAGGTCGGTCACCAGGATGATTGTCGGATTCTGTCTCCTCATCCAAGATGTTCTTCGGTGCTGGCTTGACCTTCGACACAAGCCTCAGTGTTGGTGGAGGTGACTTTGGAATCAGTTTTGGATGTGGCATCGCCTTCGACGTCGGCCTTCCTGCGAGAGGTTGCTCTTCCTCATCTGAATCATCGTCGTCGTCGGAATCTGGGTCGTAGTCAACCTGCTCCATGTTGACTTTCTCTTGTTGTTGAGAGGCGGATGGATTGTCATCGGCGACTTGCTCCATGGGGCAGTCGGATGTCTCATCTTCCTCATCACGAGCAGGGGATTCCTTCAACGGAGATGCCCGTCTCTTCACTAGCGGCTTCGGCAAAGGAGCCGTGGTGTTGGATCGTCCGAAGATCATATTGGAAACCGGCATGTCTTCGAGAGGATCGAGCATACACAGTTGCAAAGGTCGGATTGGTTGTAAACCGAAAGTGGCTGCGGATGCAGAGACATATTTCTTGAGATTCAAAATGGGTCAAGTGCAACACACGCATCGCGGAATTGAGGAATTGAAAATGTGCAAAATGAAAAAACTCATGCATCAGAATTCATGGACATGCGGATCATGCCCAGGTTCCCCAATAAGCAAAAATGGATTCTGCTATACCGACTCCTGCAAAGGCAACGATGTCGGGTCTGTGCTTCGTATTGTGTGCTAGCCACTCAACCAAAAATGCCTTGCATCAACGTTCAAGAGATTGCCTGTGAGGACGGCCTTGATGAGCTCGTCTGCTTTAGCTGAGTGCTTGGTCAGCGAATCTGCCAGGCAATCTTCACTTCGTACATGTGCAAGGTCATGCATTTGTCCACTGTTGCTTTCCTTTCTCAGCCATTGTCTCTTTCTGTTCCGGTTGATGTGTTGTGGATGCTGTGGTGACAAGATTATTCGCATCAGTGCGGATGTGTACATCTGCGATTTTGCCTGTTGTCTGACCAGAGACCGCGAAGAAATGAACCGTAGCAACGCATCAGTCCGTGCAATTCTGCAACAGTTGTGGACATGGTTGTTTCGGTGATCTTGTGCATCTCATAGTCGACCAATGAGCCTCTCGAGTTCGATGAGCCCTGGCGAAGATCTCTTTGTTCTGCGAGGAATATAACATGCGCACGTTGGGATGACTTATCTTCATTGTTGCGATAGGATGCATCGGGATAACCAACTATGCGTGTCTTGCCACGAAGGGGCCAGAATCTCAGACTAAGCGG